ATTACACACCATTCCCTAAGGCTCTTTATATTCAAACTTTGCCAAAGCCTATTACATTTCTTACCTGATCTTTTGCTACCTTCTAAAGTATCCAAAGATCTTGGCAGCTCTAGACTAAATTGTTTGGGCTATAGTTAACAGCTTAGCGATGTTTCTTCCAGCATGGGTAATTTAGTTAGTACATTCCATGAGACAGAGAAATATTAATTTGTTGCCATTAGCCAGTAAATGCTGTTAAGGTTTACTGTAGCCTTAAAATGACTGTGCATTGAAATCAGGAGAAGAACCATACCATCAAATGATAGCCAAGTCCTAAGTACAAAAACCTCTTCCCCATGTGAGAGTATTTCAGAGTTTATAGTGAAGCAGTATAAATAAATTCTTTAACGGTAACTTAATGTATGACTGTAGCAATAGCACATGTATTTTAACACATTTTTGTACTTACCAGCTAAACAGAAATGTCTCAAGTTTATCTCTCAGGGAAAATAACAACAAACAACCCCCTCAAAAAAATAGCTGCTATTGAACCACAGCCACACAGTAATTTTAGTCTGAACTAATCTTAGGTTTTTAATAAATACAGCTTCTAGTAGCTTAGTAAACCAATTTCTCCCTTTTCTTTCCTGCTGACAAAACTCTGCTAAGATTCTGCACCCAGTTTCTGCAATGCATCAGGCACCTTAGTCCAAGACACAGAATGGTAAATCGAAATATCTAATTTGTCACTTTGAGGGGTTCATTCAGTGGAACTAGTTTGCTCAGAGAGATCAGTGGGGTCAAAGATGTATCTTGTATTGCTGACTCTCTGTGCAGTGGGTAATCCGGTGGAGAAGCCATACCCTACCATGAGCTGCCAGCTGGTACAGTACACATTAAATCAGAGAAGTCCATGGAAGTCCATGGCTGCTCTCTCCAGATGTCTCTGCTACACTACTGGATTGACCCCAACAAAAAGGTGGAGGAAGCTACCTTTTTTAAGTTTGTGCAATGACCTTAGTTGTACCAAAACAGCTGAGGAGCTGGTCAAATTGCAGTGAATTGTCAAGTTTATTCAGGACTGTTATTTCTTGAGCTATAGTTGCTAGTGAAAGCCTTGTGTTGACAAGTTTGAGCGAATTTGAATGACCTAATCAACAATTACCCTGCTAAGAAATCTCTTACTTTTTTTCCAGGAACCTAAACAAAGGAGTTCTTACTAGAAATTGTGCTCTATGATATTCTCAGAAACTAGCATATCTAACTATATAAACATAACATTTTATGAAGAACTGGGAAGTTTTAATAGCAGAATTACCTGAAAAACAACAATGCATCAAATTATTCTGAGTAAACAGGAGCTAAATAAAATGGAGTACAGGATAGTGTCTCCTTGAATAAAAAGTGGTTTAGAAGACCTTTTAGCTGCCAACTACTAATTAACGTCAAAAACTCCCAACTTAAAAACACATGGTATTGAAATTACAATCACAGTTGCAAAACAGAAAAATAGGTCCATTTTTTTTGTTTTGTTTTCATAATGTAAGCAAGTGCTAGCAATACAGACAACAGGAATATCAGTAAGTATGGATGAGAAAAATACAGTGGGTGTTACTGTCTTTAAACTTGATATGATACCTTTAAAGACAAGTAATTTTCAGTAAAATGCTACACTGCTAAAACCAGATAAACATAGTTTGTTTAAAGCAGATCAGATTGACTGTGTCTGTCTAATCATATTTGTATGCTGAGTAGACCATATATTGTGCACCCAGGCCCTGATGCTATAATTGGATCTGTGCATACAGACTTCTGTTCTTTCTCAAAGTTCTATTTAATTAAATTAAACTATATACCTCTTTAAAGTAAACAAGACCATCATTCAGTTTATATGTCCTTACAAAAGAGGCAGCTGAAACACAACACATCTATTCAACACGATCCTGCACACCTAGTTTATAGCCAGCACAACTCCATGGACTTCCCTAAAGTTGCGAAAACCATGATTTGACATGAATCAGGATGAACACAATTCAAAGTGATGGGAAAATGAGAAAAAGTAACAGACATAACCAAAAAGGGAAGCAAGTGGAAAAGAAGTAATGAAATAAGTGGACCCATTAAAAACAAATGAAAAATAACCCACAAACAAACAAATAAACTCCCCCAAACCCCAAACAAACAAAAAAACTCACTAAAAGTGTCACAGACGAAGTAGGAATATAACTCCCAGAGCCTAAGTTTTCTTCCTGGAAGTGTTTTTCTCACATTATCTTTATCTGTCTCTGTGTTTCCCCCCTTTACTCCTTCCCTCCCAGGAAGGGAATGATCAAAGTTTTCTTCCTTTCTGTTGTTCCCTGCATGTGTTAACAATCAGCTCACAGGCTCTATCACAAAGGATTTATATTCTTTTTCTATTATAACAATCTATCAAACTTTCTGTTGGCTTTGTGAATTGCAGTTGTAAGTTAATTTAAAAGCATTCTTCAATGGCAGTGCAGTCTAGATTATGGGTGAAACACACATTTCTATTTTTATAGTATGAAGAACAATTACAGGAGAACTCTTCTAGTATTTTTAAATTACATTGTATATTTAACTTGTAACAAGAAACATGTGCGCCAAGGGATGAAACTGCATGTCATTTTTCACAATCTGACCTCTAAAGAAAAGTTCTTTCCAAAGATTCAGAAATCCTTAGTTTTTATATTCATATATATAAAACTATAATCACTAACATATCTAAAACTTATTCCGATACATCAGAAAAATTGAATATATTAGTGTATTCTCATATATGTGTATGTTCTCATATTAGAATATCTATAATAGATACATATATATTCTCCCCTTCTTTCCCCATAATAACTGATTCAAATATAATAGTTTTTGAGCCTGCTGTTATGACTAAATTTAATTTTTTTTAACTATTATTCCCCAAAGTACTTATTTGATCATGGTGATTTGTCTTGCTCCGGTAGTTTAGTTTATGGGGTAACAGAAAAGCAACTGTCTAAATACTTTTATATTCTTAGGACTTAAGTCTATCAGACTCACAGAACAATGACAGTGTCAAGAACTGTCATATGACTGTCATCCATTTGATTGAGGGTACACATTTCTTTAACTACATAGCCCAGAAAAGGCATTAGCTCAGGGAAGTCCCTGAAGTTCACCCTACACAGGATATAACCAGAGGAACACAATTCCCTGCAGTCTCATGACAGGCAGACGACTCATCTGGTAGTCGCCTGGTGTTTCCACAGTACCTCTTGCTCTTGGGAGCCCACCTCTAGGGAGCATGACGCAGAAGCAGCTCATTTGACCCTGCATGCAGCCACCTGAATGCCACTAGACTTGGCCGTGCATCACTCCCCAGCTTCCCACCCTGCTTCCCAGTCCTCACACACAGTTCTCCAGGCATCTGCCCACTGTCCCACCCATGTGTCTTGGGGGCACCCAGCTCAAGCTGCTATTTTGTTATTGCACCAAGATAAAATTATTTTATGGATCTGGACATCTGTGACTGCTACAGGAAACCTGAGACCAAGCTGTTAAGGAAACCTGGCCTGGCAGTGTGAGTGTGGGGGGTGTAGCTGCGAAGGCACCTCAGTCCCAGCTCAGGCAGTGCGAGACTGACTGTCAGAGTGGCTCCTGGATAGTTGGACAGGGAAGTTTCCTTAACATATGGCTCAGCAAGTTTACAACCCAGAGAAACAGCTCTAACATGGGCAGGAGCTGACTGCCTTTGATCAGTGCAACAGAGAGAGCTGGGGCTGTGCCACATGGAAGGGAAGCCCGACCAACACTCAGTGAGGGGCTGGCACACCTGAATCCCCTCTGGTGGTCCCCTGCAAGCAGCCAGCTTTCACCCTCTGTTGTAGCTGCCCCAGGCACCCTGTGGGAATGGGACCCACAGGACAGGAGGTCACTGGGGCCCCGAGGGACAGCGGGAATGGGGCCTCCTTGAACCACAGCTGCCCCCTAAACTTTGCAGTGCTACAGGCTGATGGAGGAGGGGCTGCAAAGCTGTCCAGATGAAAAAGATCCGGGGGTGCTGTTTGACAGCTGGCTGAACATAAGCCAGGCATGTGCCCTGATGACCAAGAAGACCAATGTCATGCTGCCTTGTACCAGAAATAGTGTGGCCAGCAGGACCAGGGCAGTGACTGTCCCTCTGTACTTGGTGAGGTCCTTGAGCACCTTGAGTTCTGAGTTCAGTTCTGGTTCCTCACTCCAGGAAACACACCGAGGTGCTGGAGCGAGTCCAGAGGACAGTGGAGCTGGTGAAGAGTCTGGAGCACAAGTCCTATGAGGAGCAGCTGAGGGACATGGGGTTGTTTAACCTGGAGGAGACTCAAGGGGGACCTTACTGCTCTCTACAACTACATGAGATTGTAGTCAGGTGTGGCTCTGTCTCTTCTGCCTCAACTAGTGACAGAACAAGAGGACATAGCCTCAATCTGTATCAGCGGAGGTTCAGGATGGACATTAGGAGGAATTTCATCACAGAAAAGGGTGATCAGACATTAGATTGGGCTGCCCAGGGAAGTGGTGGAGTCACCGTCCCTGGAAGTGTTAAAGGAAAGACCGGTCACGGTACTTAGTGCCACGGTCTAGTTGACAAGGCGGTGTTAAGTCACAGGCTGGACTTCAAACTAAATACGCCCTGTGCCCGGCGCTGCGGTTCCGAGCGCTGAGGTGACGGGCGAGGGGCAGGCCATGGCACCCCAGCCCACAGCCCACAGCCCCCAGCCCCGGCAACCCGCACGGCGCAGGCGCCGCGGCACGGCGGGCGGCGGGCAGCCGCGCGCCCTCGATGCGCCTGCGCCCCGCGCGCGCCCGGCTCGGGGCGGGCGGCCCCGCCCTGGGCGCTCCGCCCGGTGCCCGCCCCGCACCCCCCGGCCGGGCAGGGCCGCCCCGCCCCGGGGGCCGGACCGGGGGAGGGGGCCGGCCAGGCGGAGGGGGCCGGCCAGGCGGAGGGGGCCGGCCAGGCGGAGGGCACCGGCCCTGAGCCCCCCGCGGCGTCACCCAGTGCCGCCCGGGGCGGGGCGGGAGGCCGGCACATCCCGGCTCCTTCTTCCTCGGAGCCCCCAGGGTGCGGAGAGAGGGACTGGGGGAGGTCCCCTCCGCCCCCGTCGAAGGGAGCGGGGCGAGTGGAAAGGTGGGTGTCGGAGAGAGGACGGGTTTCGGAGGGGCCGGGCTTGGGGTGGGGATATTCCCGAGGGCTGCTCCGCCAGGTTCTGGCGGAGGAAGGAGGAAGCCGGCAGACGTCGCCAACCTGGGGCAGAGGGGCCGGGCGCTTCCGCAGGGAACTTCGCGGTACTCGGGGCGTGCGGGTCTCCCTTCCTTTTCCTTCCTCTTTCTTCTCCTTTCTTTTCCTCCCACCGCAGGCGGGCTCACTCCGCGTTTCCCTCCACGCTCGGGGCTGGCTCTCCCCCGCCGCGCCTGGCTGCGGGCCGGGATGCGGCGGGAAGCGCCGGGATGCGGGGCCGGCGCCGCCCTCGCCCTGCCGTCCCCCCGCGGCCACCGCCCGGGGGCTGCCCTGGCCGGGTCCCGGTCTGTGCCGCAGGGCTACCCCTGCCGAGGTGGCCCGGCTCTCCTGGCGCTGGGTGAGGGTCGCGGCGAGTTCTCGGATGTTCGCGGTTTCGCGTGGTAACCGAAGTTTTGTGCCTCCAGTCCGGGGGTGGTGTCTGTGGCAGGGAAAACGTGGGAGTGCTGCTCTCTCTGCCTTGCCGCTGGTGTCTGGTGGAAGTGCATATGTGGAAGCGAACTGACTGACATCTATCCTGCAGGGTTAATCAATAATCAGAATGATTGTTCAGGTAGTCCTAAACGCATTTTTATAGGCGGCGCTGAGGGCTTTAAGCACGCAGCAAGTTGTTACAGGGATGAAGTTTATACAGCATGTCATCCTCAAAAGATAAAAATATTTTTAGCAAGTCTGAAGTAATTGTGCTCCCTTTTCTGGGGTAGCGTGATGTACGCTGTCATGTGTCTTGATAAAGTTTTATGTCTTGAAACTAAGTAATAAACCCAAGTTCATTGTGTATACTGAGAGTTTCCCTCACTACTTTTTAAGTGAAAATGCCATTACTGGTATTTCTTCCTTTGCCTATTGGTATTTCAAAATCCAAGGCCTAGGAAGCCTGACCGTGGTGGGAAATTCAGCTATCCCAGGAAACTAACCAAGCCTAATGTCAGTAAAGTACTTTACTGTTTCTTTTATTTTTTTCATGATAACAGTATGCATATGGGAAAAGGGAAATGTTCACTGAAGACTTCACGTGAAGATGTAGCTGTTACACTAACTTAACTTCATCCTGTACATCAGTGACGTATAAAATCTTAGCTGTTGTTGAAATCTAGAAATTCTGAAGCAGAAGTCAATATGTCTTCTTTTTTTTTTTTTTTCTGGCTATTGAAAAAATTTCTGACATTTTTTACTTCTGTTGTACTGGAAGCTTTTGTAGGGAGACAGGTTGACAAGAACAATCTTGTATAAATGCTAATTAGTCAAAAAGCAAATACTCCTAAGAAGTATCTTTTTGGAGAACTTAATTTAAAAAATGTAATGAGTAATTTTTCTGTTATCAGCATTTTTTCACATTTCCTTTGAAACTACTTTTTGGCATATTTCAAAAGAAAATTAAGAAATTTCTCACTGGAGTGAGAATTTTTTTTAATTATTCAGTCAAACGCGCTTATGAGGAACATGTAATTTTGTTTTTCTTTTATTCTGTTTGAGAATACAATTATTTATTTTCTCTTAGATTGTGGAATTGCTATCTAATGAGGGTGTATGGTTCTTCCTGTGGTCTCATACAACTCGTATGATGAATTTCTTTTTCCAAAGGGTTTGGGTTTTTCATTTGTTTATTTGTTTTTAATTTTCATAAATGTTTTACTATTTCAGTTGAGAAGGGAGGGAAAAGGAGGTATCTGGATGTACTACCCCGAGATACTAATAAAGATACTTTAATGTTGATATTCGTTCTGTTTCGAGTAGAAATGGTTCAGGTAAAATATATGTAGTTCTTAAACTGTACGAATCCAACATCACAAAGTAGATCCATCCTAATAAAATTACTACTCAGGGGGTAAGAAGACTACTATGAGCATTTAAAGATGGGTGCATTTTAAGAAATTTTCTGAAGTAGAGCCTTTTATATGTTTCAGTAAAAATAGAGGTGGTCTAGGATAACTGCAAGTTAAATTATGCTCTGAGATATTAAATGTTGCCCGTGACACTTCAGGAAGACCTGGGGTTTCGGAGTGGTTTATGGGTATTCTTTTGTTGTTAGAAAATGCTAAATACTCTCTGAGAATTGAATTTCATTGGGTAATCTCCAAACTGTTAGTTAAAAATTCAAGCTCTTAAGACTGGGGTCAGTTAAAACTACCCTTGTAAAATTAAAGTAAAACAAGTTACAATTTTTCAGAAACCAGCTTGTGATTTCTTATTTTTCAGGGCATTTAAGAAAAGAAAAAAGAGTAAAAGAAAGAAAATTACATTTCCTTAGCACTAATACAAAAATGAAATACAGGGATTAATTTCTTTCTTTGGAATGCTGAGGCTAATTTAGATCCAAAATTTATATTTAGTGAGGGTAAGAATACATACAGGTAGACATGGAGAAACCATTTTTATTTGGATCAGAAAGATTCTGTAGAAAGATGGGAGAATTTCACTGCTTTACGGCAAAGAAATTGGCTCTTTATTTAAGCTTATTGCATTTGCAATAAGAAAAATACAAGTCACTTTAAAGTGATAAAATTCAATGAAACCAGTAAAGGTATGAACTGTATTTTTTTTACTATCAAAAGCAGACCAGATAGATGTATGTTTTTCTGTAACTGAGGTCAGTGGCTTCCTTGCAGGTTAGAAAGAGGGGAAAATCAGCAACAACAATAAAAACAACAGCTGAATGTATATTTGTGAGTTAAATTCAGTCATTCCAGTACCAGATCAAATCTAGTTTAACAAGGCTTTGGAATTTTGGAAAATGATGCTCAAGCTTTTCTTAAAGAGTCATGAACCACTTCCACGTTAGTGTCCATAAGTTTCTGGCTCAGAAGCCTTTTTCAGATTTATATTCTTTGTAGAGTAGAATTACATAGCTTACTTTTTCCTGTAGTTGCTTCATAGATACCTGTTGCTAACCCTCTCTGAGTTATGTGCTTGTGAAAAATATCTAATACAGGCCTACTGTGAATGAGGTTATTCCTCGTTGTGAGGTTGCTCTTCACTTACCAAACCTGTTTGCTACTACTATCTGATATTATCAAAAATGGGAATCATCTGTCACAGTCAGAAACATGAGAATAGCAAAATACAAATCAATCTCATAGTCTCCCTAGCAGTTGTCGAATTGTGGTTTATTTGATTTGGTGAGTAGTCAAGAAAATGTATCTGCTTTGGGTACCCTGTCAGGGGAGATAAGCAGTTGACTATGCTGGGTCCTACGAGGGAGTATTTATCAGGTTTTCTGCTGAACTAATCCCGTGCTAGCTGAAGCACTCAGGAGGTGGTAAGTGATAAGCACAACTTTGTGTCTGTGTCAACTTTCTTTTAAAGGATATCCCCATTAAAGATAATATTGCATCAAAACATGAGGATGAGAGTTAGTTATGTAATAAAATTATGCCTACAGCTGCTGTTTCAAGGTACAGTTCTTAATTATTTTCTTTTGCGCTCATTAACTGTTGTATGTGATTGCACTATTGCTTTGATTTTCCTGCCTTTGACCATTGTTTATAATTTGTACTTTTAGTTTCATTTTGTGCTGCATATTTTTTTATGGAAGGATACATTTGAGACTGTTTTTCTTTTTTCATTTCAGCATGTGAAAATTGTGCCTGTCTTTTCAGGTCTGTGGGCGTGAGTTTCACCTTGGAGTTAGAGGCAACATTTCTGACACTGTTATAAGGTAAACAAGTGTTTTGGCTGTTGATCCTGTTGATGCCGCTCTTCCCTGCTCTTGCTGCTTCCCTGTTGACTGAAGTTGTTCAAACTCAAGCCTGTTGCCAAAAGAGCAGCACCATCCTCAACAGCACATTTCTGCATCTCCCTTGTAAGTGTAGCAACTGTCATGTGTGAACTGCATGGTAAATCAAATTATTCTGGTAGCATGCTGCCTCGCAGTTGTTAGTAACTGCAGCAGGAGCTGCAGTGTGTGAAAACACAAAGGTGAGGAGTAATAGGACTGCCTTTGCTCAATGAAGCCTTAGATCGGCTTAGAATGACCAGAAAACCACACCCTAAATTTACTGTGAAAGCCAAATGAATGAATGCTTATATGATTCAAGTATCTAACCATTATCTTTATCCTTGCAATTAACTTCCTTAATCACACTGAACTACAAGTAATTTAACTTGTTGCCATTCTTATTCTTTAAAAGACATGGTGTATTACAGTGGCATGTAAGTCAAGGAAAAGACAGATCATTCTTTCTCCAAGTAAATAGCAGAAGCAAAGGAACCAGAATAATGTTTGCATGTGTACACTGTGTGGAAGTGTGCATGCTTCACACAAGAGCAAAAGTGTGTGGTGGGGTCAGTACTCCCTATTAGGATCTTCCCATTGAAATGAAATATTACTATCTCTTGGAAGGTGGGTTGCATTAATCAGGGGAATAAGGATGATCCAAAAAACTGCTCCAATATAGGCAGAAATCAACTCTTACCATGTCATCTGCTGTGGGTGGGGCCAGGCCATATGGCAAACCCAGGGACTGATAACCCTTTCCTAGTCTGTAGGTCGCATGGTAGCTACATCTGAAGTGGTGAGGGAGAAGGATGTGTGTTTCCATGTGTAATGAAGAACAGGCCTCTGCTAATCTGATCTGCCTTGCAGGGATTTGGTTGACAGTATTGCTCCAACTTTTGATTCTTGCTTAGTAGGTACTTCTCAGTCTGCAATACTCTGGAAGAGACAATAAACATTTTTGAAGTGAGAATTCAAAGCACGTTTTTGCACTTGTTCAGAGTGACAACATACTTCAAAGACTTCATTTGAGTGTATAAATTATGCTTCAACCCTTTTTGAGATACAGACTCTCATATCTTAAAGGTCTTTTCCACCCTTAATAATTCTATGATCCTATATGCCTTCATCCTTTTGCCAAAATGTTTTCTAGGGTAGAAGCACTAACAATACTGTTTGGCAATCAGCTTGAAATGCATGTTGACACGGGAACCCCAAAGACCACTCTAAATTAAATGAATATAGCATCCAAGTATTTTATTGAGTTGTAACATTAACAGGTGGCTTAGTTTAACTCATAAATTGCACATAATCCTTCTTGGTTTTGTTAGGCCTTCTTTGTCTTCCTAGTTTTGTGGATTTTCACAAAAAGTTTGATTAGATTTTCTTTCTGGTTCCATTTCTGTAGGTTATTTGGTGGTTCATTTTCTCATTTTACTACCCTCTATTAATGCGTTAATTTTCTTACTCTTTTTTAATATATCAGTATATTTTTTTCTATTTTCCAGTCTCTAATTTGTCTTTCTTGTTCCATGTGTACAGACAAGCTGTTTGTTCTGATCTTGTGTTACCAGGAAAACTACTCTAGCTTCACATTTGTTCCTTCCCCATCGTCTCAGTTACCTGTTCTTTCCCAAAACGCATACAGTTTGAAATCTGTAATGATTTCAAAGTGATGTTGGAAAAAGAAATCATTACTGTGAAGTTATCCAGTACACACTGTAAGACCTTGGATGCGGTGGAAGCTGCAAAACTTAGTTTCTTTGGAGGAAACTTCCTGGACTCACAAGTAGGTGATCTGCTTGGTTTTAGTTTGTTTTCTGTTAGTGCTAGAAAACTTTTTTCTCTGTAATAAAACCTGGTTGAGGTACAGAAAAACTTGCTCTCCTTATAAAACTGGTCAGTTTCAGAAAATGAGTACAAACTGTATCTGTCATCAAGTCTTACAGATCTACTCATTGCTTGAGCTAAAGTGGCATTATATGCAGTTCCAGGTTCCCACCATGATCACTGAAGATTAAAAGCAGCTGCTGCTTCCAAAAACCGAGTTGTCACTGGTGTGAAAGTCTGTCTTAGAAGACTGTTTCTATATAATTTTTGTTTACTAAATAACTTAACAGTAAAAGGACTTTAGGGCTACTGTTAAATCACTTCACAGTATACTTTAATCAGGGAAAATCATTACTTCACCAATAAGTTGTGTGTTCCATTAAGAGCTGGAAGAAACAAAGGCTGTTAGAGGATGTATTACTGTGAAATAAAACTGGAGAAGTTCATGTTGTGTGGCTGGTGTAATATTTACGTGAAGGGAGGAGAAGAACTTGTCCATTGATACTGAAAAGATGAAGCATTTATTTCAACAAAAGATGCAGGCTTTCTGGATACAGGGGAGAAAGTAAACAAAAATAGGGGTATATTAATACTGTGCTGTCTCCTGAGTCTCCAGGCAGTCTATGACTATGCACTCATTTATATAACTAGTGTATTAATATTGAAGCTTTAATCTAAAGGACGATTCTTACAAGGGCTAATTTATTTATTAATTGTTCCAAAAGGTGGAACAGCTTTGAGCTGAAGAACACAGACCCACTGCATGAGAAAAAGTCGTACAGTAAGAAACTGATAAGGAACACTGCTAGTGAAGCAGGGAGGAAGCCAAACAGTGATAAGACAAAAAGGACAAGAACTGTGGGAATCATAGGTGTGACCATGTTTTCCTTGCATGCAACACTGCTCTCCTAGAAAACATTGAATAGTAGTTGAAAATTCAAGTTGTGAATAGAAATGTTATACTCTAGCGTTATCTTGGTACAAATCTTCCATCCGTTAGGACAAGAGCTTGTTCAAGTCATACTTAATTTATGTGATAAACGTTATAAACCAGACTTTTATTACTTTCCAACCTCTTGACTTCAAGTGTGCAGTCCTTAGAGTTCTTAGTCCTAGAGTTATGTGATTGTTTCTGCATATGAATCTTCCTTTCAAAAAACATAAAAATTCTAGTTTTCACTCTAGTGAGGGAAAGCTTTAAATGTGAAGCTGAAAAATAATAATAAATAATAAATAGTCAAAAAGCAAAAAAAAGCACAAGAACATGTGTCTTCAGAGTGTCATGGGAACATTTTTTTTAGACTATTTGTAAGGTTCTGAAAATTTGTAAGTTAGAAAAGTAGTTTCATGCTTGATCAGTTGAGAATCGAATGTTATTTTCTTAAACTAAGATATGCATATTTAGTTCTGCAGAGCAATAGAAATCAAAGTAACAAATGTAAATGTTCTTCCATGCTGCAAGGTAGAGCTGCTGATAAACCCTGCATTCTCGAATCCCATTTATGATTTTTTCTATTTTCAGAAGGAATTAGGCTTCAAAATGAATTGTAAAAGGAATGTTTCCTAAAAAAATTTTGCACAAAATTTGTTGATTGCTATTGTGATCCAGCTAGTTGTTGTGGGTTTTTTTTTTTCTCTGCACTGTGCATAACGAACTATTTCCTTTGCAAAAGGAAAGAAAGTAATCCACATCTCATCACATTTTTACTTTTATCACAATGTTTTTCTTTCTTCCTTTAGGCTGTTTACCTTTGAAAAATTATCTAGTATTGTTATTTTATCTTTCCATATTTTTAAATACAGTGTTGTTGCAGATCTCTTAGCAGTTGGTTTAAATGGAAGAATCTCTTTTATAGCCTTTCACACTCACTTTTTACTTCTTTTGTTATATCCCTTCCTGGGTTTGCTGTTACTGTATTGGTTGTTCAGTTTTTCTCAGGTGTATTTCTTTCTCAGTTTTAACCATTAATAATAACAAATTATAAACCAGATTGTCCAGTTATGGTACTTTCATATTATAGGGCTATGTAAGTATTCTTCCGACCAAATTCAAGAGGGACAGTTTACTGGTTCTTCATTTGGGTTACTGGATGTTTGAAACATGACTTGTGCATAGTAAAGCATATATGATGCAAAACTCTATGCAATATGGCATCATAAAGATACATTTGTGACTTGAAGCAAAAAAACCTTGAGTTTAAAGCCAATTACCTTCTCGCTGTACAGGACTTCATTCCGTATGGTGTTTGTTTACAGATGTGTTCCCATATTCAATTGCTTATTAAATTTTATATTTATACTGTCAGAAAACAGTGTTGTTGGAAATTGTAAATGAGTGATGATACCATGAAGAAAAGCAGTCATCTTTTTGATGCAGGGTTTCAGAGGAAACTCTGCTTCTGTGTCATGATGCCTGCTTGGCCTCTAGAACAAAGTGCCCTTTCAGATGAACTTAAATCCCTCATACAAAGCGAACGTATTTCTCACTTTAAGAATAAAAAGGCACATTTTATGTTTATTAAAAAACTTTACTTGTCACACTAATTTGACAGCTCTTGATAATTACATGCTCAAAGTTGCTTTTACGTATTTTGCAGCTTCAAGAGGAAGATGTTATTTCCTTATGTTCTTCCCCTGTATCCAGCATAGTGCAAATGCAAAGTACATGATGTTTTTCTCTTAACCTTTTAATTACTGTTGCATGACTCCTTGAAAGTGTACAGTATCTTGTTACCAGTGTAGGAGGAGCTGACAACAGAGGCAGCAGAGCAGGCTATGTTGTGAGCAGAGCCACTGAACGTTTGAGCCTCTGGGAAAGTAGCTATCAGGGCTAAAACAGTGTTTTAGCTTCTAGGGTGCTGGTGATCAGCAGCTTGAGCCAGTATTTGGAAGGGGTCTTTATAGTGGAGGAAAGGAGGCTTGCTTGTTTGTGATCATTGCCTCTAATTTCCTTCTGCTTCAACTTAGTGAAATGGCAGGCTTTATCTTTGTAAGGTCAGTTTATTTTCAATGCAAATATGTGATTTTGAAATTTCCCTTAATAATCCTTACCAATTAATAATCCCAAACAAAGGCAAAAATGTTACTGTAAAATAGGAGAGGTGTAAAGTCTTACGGTTTAAGAAAAAGCAGTCTTACTGTTAAGAGATCACTAATGTGTTTGGAATGGTGGAATGAGTGCAGGAATATAGGACAGTGTTGCAGCCTTGGATTGGTAGCTGTCTGGTGTCGAACAATCCCATCTACCTTATTTCTCACAGATATATACCACAGGAATATTTACCGTGTGATTGGTGCAGTCCTTCTGACATTGAAATAGAAGGATGGTGCTGCTTTCTGTGAATGTAGCTTTGTGCTGGCAGAAGTGATTGCCAGGGAAGGGTTAGGCAGCATGCTTACTTGTCCTGCCTGCATCTTCTTTTTGCCTGTGCGGCCTCGCAGGGGACTGGTGCAGGCGGCTCGCTGGGGTTGAGTCGCTACTGCTGTGCTGTGAGAACCGAAGTAGTAGTGGTGGCACCACGGCAGTGTAAACTCACATCCCTGCTGAAAGGAGTGCTTGTCAAGGTAGCTTTGTCGACAGATTAGGCTGCTCTTTTGACAGTTTTCTGCACTGGACTTAATAGCAAATAACTAGGAAGTAGCTAGTGGAAAACTGGTGTACAGAGACAGAGTAGGGGCATGGTATGGCTCTCTAGGCTTGTATAAAGATTTTTGTAAGATACTGTCTAGGGCACACTCCCTTTTTGTGTGGACTTTTTCAGCATCCAAGGCCTTGCCAACCATTTACCAGTAGCAGATCTTTGTCACCACATTAAATGCTTCATATTACAAAGTATTTAAAAAATAACTCATTTCTCACTGTGAAAGAAAGAGATTGAACAAACGGACTTCACAAACTTGAATTGTCATTTCTTTGTAGATTCTATATGAACAGAGTTGTGAAGATACTGAAGAAGTACATGTAACCTTTTTCACTAATCCAGAATATCCAAAACATGCATTTTGTACGTCAACTTGCAAGAGAACTGCTGTAGTGTCATTTTATCTTTGCATTCTTCTATAATGTGGTTTGTTCTTGTTTTCAGTCAGTGATTGAAAAGGCTTGCCAGTTATCTTGCTGGCTGAATAAGGAGATGATGAAAAGCATCTTTATAGTATTCTTGTACTCCAGAAATAGTTTGGTTGGCCATCTGCAAAAGCAGTGGCATTCCTACCAGTTCTCTTATACCAACCATATCCTTCCAAGGGGCATGGTATAGTAAATAAATGTGCTGTTATTGTATGGATAGGTATGTACCGTAGTATTTATATCAAAAGGTAAAAGTTGGAATACTGTTTCAATGGAGCATTCAAACAATAAAAAAAAGTTTACCAAAATCTTCAGGTTGTAATAAACTTAAATTTTGTAATCAGGGTTCTAGACTTAGGAAGCCTATGTCAGCCAATTATTCTACAGCATCTTGTTTGATTTGATGTTTTATTGTTAAAAGTGTGTTCACTTAAAAATACTCCTTGTGTTGGGGTGAAGATATGAAGACAGTTATGCATTTGAAATGTATTGTAAGACAACCAAAGCTTTGCCTATCTTTTATTAGACCAAGTAGAACAGTTGACTAGGGAATGAGCTTGGGATTTAAGAGAATTTTGTTATGTTTTGGCTGTTTTATTAACAGGTTAATGGTTGTCAGCATAAAGGCAAAATTTAGGTAGCATTCTTAGGAAATAGTGATTGAATGATGTATCAGTGCAAGTACAGGCACATGTCATGATTGAGGGTTGTAATTTTGTGCTACCATCTTTCTGCTTTCTGTTGGAGCTGGTTTAGCCCACCATCCTGGAGCAGCTCTTTGTGTGCTGCAGTGAGCTACAGTTTCAGTTATATGGATACAGGCCAGTTGTACAGCGAGTTGTAGCACAGAGCACTGCAGCTGTCTGAATTGTGCTTCTTTGTGTGTTTGTTAAACATGGAAGAGGTTGGAAAATATTTTTTTTCTGAAAACGTCTTTTATGGTTTTTTTTAAATATAATTGTTTATAAAATTAAATATAAAATTGTAAGAATACCTTTTAAATCCTTGAAGTTAACTTATTGTTCAAAATAATAATAATAGATGTATTTGGGGCTGAGGTTTATAATGAAATCACAAAACTGTTAAAAATTGCTGCTGCCAGAGTTGGATGTGTTAAAACACCATGTTTTCTGACAACCTTCTTGAAAAATGCAGAGATTTCTTCTGTTGAATAAATGCTAAGTTAAAAAAAAAAAAAAAAACCAACAAAAAACCAAAAAAAAACAACTGGAGTTACATTAGTAGTGTTTTTTCTTCCTACCCTCCAGTAAGTAAAAGGAAAGGCTGGTGTAATAAAAGATCATTCTTAATATTTTCTACCAGTCTCTATCTGCAGATATGTCTGCTTTGGTTTAAACAGCAAGATATGCGTTTTACAATCAAAATATGCTTTTCTGGTGGAATACCTGGATGCTCGCATGCTCAAAGTACTGCTAATAAGTGGCAAATTATTATTGATCTTGCACGTTAATTACATCCCAGCGTAAGTGCAAATACCATGTGATATTTATTAGACATCTAGTAACCATTTTGTTGATATTTCTTTAAGGGGTTCATATTTTTTAGTTCTCGGAATGCAAAAATGATTTTGCTGTTTGCAACAGTTAGATGTTGCATTTAAATATGCTGTTAAGATGTGGTTTCATGGTCAGAAATAATAAGTTTATACTGTTGCCAGAGAGGAATGAACACACTCATGTTTTCCTCCATCCCACACGAACACCTGTGCTTCTTCCTGCACAGCTAAATTTGGCTGAAAAGGTTTCTCAGCACCCTTGCCTAGTCACAGCCTTCAGTTGTGAATGACCTTCCCACACTGGGGAAGCAGCAGGAACACATGGTTAACAAGGATGAAAAGCACCAAAAAACTGCTCCTTTCAGCACAGGCAGCTTATAAACCAGTACCCTGAGCTGTACTTTTGCAGCCAGTACAAGCCAGCATGATGGCTTGCTGCTGCCGTTCTTGGTCCCAGCTCCCTTTCCTTTGCAGTGGATTTTGGCACTCTTTCAGCTGATTAACTCATGTACCTCAGCATAGAGTGCTGGCAAGTTGGAGAGCTGATTCATCTCATGAAAATACTCTTAGGCACCGGGCTGGTGCAAGATAAACAGTTCATGCCCATGAGCAGGTGGGGGTTCTGGACCAAGGGCAATGGGAAACTCTTTTTCCGCTAAAGTGGTAAGGAGTTTTTTGCATCAATTTACTCCATCTTGTAGAATCACTCCCTCAGTCTCAACTTTTTAATTAAAATGCTTTTATAGAAGAGTATGGTGAAAATTTCAGGAACCTTAACTGCCTTTCAGAGGTGTTGTGGTATCTTGTTTCTCATTGGCATTTTGAAGCTGAGGCTCAGCTGGAATACTACAGCAGTCTTAATGAGTAAACAGGCTTTACAGGCAGCTAGGTGCTAATTTCTAAATGAGAACCCATTGTGTTCAAACTCCTCTCTGTTAGTAGTTAGAACTTCATATTGCCAGTATTCTCGAAGTATATACTTCAATTTTCAGTACAATTTTTTTCTACATACGTAGGACCTACCATCAAATTCTTAGGACAAGGATCAGTTTGTGGGGTTTTTTTAAACTGCCATAGGTGTATTTAAGTATGTCTTGAATTAGTTTTGCCCTGTGTCCAATCACAAATGCTGACACTACCTATGTAGCTGTTTGTTTGTTCGTATGTGGAAAGCAATGCTGTATTGCAGACCCAGAGCCTGCAACCAGCTCATTTCTTTTCATAAGCATTCTTAAGCATTATTCTTGAAATTTTAAAATGTAAACTGTAGTGGGATAAATGTAAGTAAGAAGTGCAACAGCTGAACTTGCTTACTTCTTGAGATGGGGGAAAAGTTATGTGTTTGGCTTTTTTTTTTTTTCCCTGAAAAATAAGTTCCCAGTGTATACAAGGGGGGTGTTGTTGGGAAGGTTAAATTACAGGAGTAATTTAGCTTTTATATTAAGTTTTTTCTGCTTCTCTGTAATAGCTTTTACTGGTAATCTTGTCTTTTTTTTTCTTAGTGTGGTCCTGACGAGCTTCTTCTGGTGTCAGTAACAGACCGTTTACCATGAGCGATCCTGCTTCAGCTACAGGTTTTCTTCTTTTTCTTCTTTTCTCTTTTTTTTTTTTTTTTTTTTTGGTGGTGGTGGTGTATTCTTTATTGTCACCATAAGCATCCTTACCAAGACTGAACTGTAATCTGACTCCCAACAGTACCAGCACGTGAGCCTACCCAATTCCATGACATTATTGAGAAGCTCCAAAAATGATCAGTTGAAATGGACAAAAAAACCAAACCTGCTTTCTATAAACATGATCAATCAAATACCTTCTATATGGACTGTTAAGTGCCTATTCAATTTTCCTGTAGTTGAGTGCTTGAAAGGAATTTGTTTTGAAGTATTTCAATGCTGTCAGGATTACAAAGACGCCCATCTCTGTTTGGTGGAACATAAGGCACATTATGTGGATTCATGAGAAAAAGTTCAGCTGATACCCCTTGGTGTTGTTCTTGCTTTCTACACTACCTCTAGAACTTCTTGAGGAGCAGCACAGACAGTCCTGTGATTTGGTTTCAGATGTTTTCTGCCAGTTCTTGTCCCCAGGCAATCTATCCATGGTTTGAGATGAATGGTAATGTTTTTGCAAGCAAAACAGTAAAAAAAAAAACCACCACATTTTTTTTCTCTTGATTAGATGTTTTCTAGATTTGGCACAGGTTACTGTTCAGATACGTTGTGCAAAACCAGCAGAATGGGGTTTTGTTGAGAGATGGTGGGAAGTTGGATAGACAGGTGCAGGTAAGGAAACTGGGTCCATTAAAGCTATGTGATGGCTCAATGTGAAACCACAGCCACATGTTTCTCCAGGCATGTTAAACTATACTACCATGTGAAGAAACTTATGCTCTGCCCTCTGCATGTGTTGAGAAAGAGGCAGCAAGTGTATATGTCTACCTATAGTTTTAGATCAGACAAGAAATGGAGAGAAAGCTAGGAAGTGCTTCCTTCAGTGGCTCTAGCATAGGTGGTCTTGAAGTATGGCTGCATAAGTTAACTTTAAGTCAAGTTAACTTAGTAAAGTCAAGGACATCTTGTCCATTTTGAACCTGAAAAGTAAAAAAAATAGAATGGGTTGTTAGACTTTAATAGTAATATATCTTGTTATGGCTTGGTACTGATTAGTGTTTAATATGTTCATGTTTGTTTTAGTCTCATCCCCAACAAGTGTACCAGATATTCAAATTTTTCAGAATGCATATAGAGCACATGAAACCCTATAAAATTTCTTGATAGAAAAATCAATGCATAACCGTTTCTGTTTTGCAGGTGGGGAAATTGTTAACTTGGCTTGTAAGTGTGCCATGGTTGGGGCTTAGATCATCGAACTTGGAGTTTTAGAGTCTTCCACTAATAAAAGAACCTTCTGTAATACAGAATGACTTGTGTAAACCACTTCTGAGCCTTAGACTGTATTCAAAACCTACAGCAAAATCTGAAGTTTCTTCTAAAGCTCATACAGATATTTCTTCCTCGTCTTTTGTTGTTCTCATTGGAAAGCTAAATTCAAGACATCAAGTGTTAAGGCTGTCTCTCTTTCCTTCATTACAATTGCTTCTAGAACAATATGCCTGTTCCATATGTGGTGTTTTGTGTAAAAGGGCTCTCAAGAACTCTGAGCCATCTCCTTGAAATGTAGTCATTGGTCACTTACCTGTTACAGGATCCAAACCAAAGTAGAAAACTCTAGAGTTTGTATGGAATTCATCTGTGTATCCTTTTCAAAGACTTTTTAAAACTTAAAATCATGTGAAACAGCACGTTTTCTTTAATAAAATAAATAAATAAAAACCCTTTTAGTTTACACCTCAGCTGCAGGAAGATAAGTTAGCGATTAAAAAAATGTAATATATTACATCTCAGTTTTGGCTAACTCCTCTTCTGTGCAACTAACACTTTGTAAATATCTTAAGTGGGCATTTGGGAAGAAGTTAGTGGCCTCAGTGTCTGTAAGAATTAAAAAAAACCCTCAAACCACAAGAAAATAAGCAAGCCCAAACACAATACACCTTCCCTTTGTTTTGATATTTGGAGTAGCTGATGAGGTCTTCTTACACTGTACTGTGGTTATGTAGGAACTGTCTTGTCTTAAGATTCAAAGAGCTATACCTAAGTCAATGTCAGTGCTGAGGCAGCAGTTTCTGTCTTTAAGGTTTTGGCGTCTGCACTGTGCAATAAACTTGTTTGCTTGTCTGTCTCCTTCCCCAAAATATTTTAGACAATGAGAAGAAAAAAGTCAGAGGAGGCAAATTGTCATGTTTCCCTTCACGTGTTCTTCATATTCGTCAAATTTCAACTGGTGTTACTGGATCAGAAGTCATTGCATTAGGTCTCCCTTTTGGCAAAGTAACCAATTTCTTGATGCTAAAAGGAAAAGGTCAGGTATGTAATTTTCAATGTTTCAATTACAAGGGCAAGGCTGAAGATATGGTTCATGTTTAGGTGTTGCGTTTGACTGAAATGATTGCAACAATGTCTAAATATTTCATTGGAAGCTCAAGATTTTCATGTTTTCAAATGTGAAAGAATGTTATGAAATTTATTTTAAGTTCTTTGAATTAAATAATGATCTAGAAACTTGTTAATATTGCTAAACGCTATATCCACTTTAGGTAAGAACATATGGATGATAAAGAATTATATTTCTCTATTCATATAGATGTATGTCTTGAAGTAACCTCCCTGATTAAGTTACTAACATACCTGTTAATTTTTTAACATCTTTTTAATTCTAATAGATGTGACAGAATAGTTCACACCATGAATAAACACTGAGATCCTAAAAATAATAGGCATTCATTCAAAATATTGTCTAGAGCTCATCTGGGTTAATATGATGCATAACCTGATAGATGTTTAGTGTCTTATTCCTACTTTTTCAATCAGTATGTGTGTCTGCTAGTTAGGTAATAATGCCTGGATTCACGAATCTAATAAATTCATTAGCAGTGTGGTATTTTTAGCAATGTTGCTTCTCATATGTCATACTCACTCCACTTCTTTAAGGACTTAATGTACTCACAATGTAAAGCTTTATGAGAAAACCCACAAAACCCTGTAAACATGCACACACAAGTGCATTTTAATGCTGAGTAAACCAGTACTATACTTTCATGTCACCTTTTTCTAGTGAGAGTGGAATTGGGAAAAAAACGATGTTTTGATGCTTTGTTCTCTCCTGTAAACAAAACCAGCACTGAAGTGAAGTATGTATTGGTTACAGGCATTTTTGGAAATGGCTTCTATAGAAGCTGCTGTTTCTATGGTGAACTACTATACTCTTTCTACACCTCACCTCCACAGTCAACCTGTTTATATTCAGTATTCCAATTACAAAGAACTTAAGACTGAAAATCAACGTAATCAGGCTGTAAGTATAATATTTCCATTTAACCGGATGGTGTATTGGTTTTGGCTAGAAGAGAGTTTATTTTCCTTGTAGCAGATTGTGACACAAAGTATCAAGGCCTCTTGGCTTTTGTATTGCCCTGCCAGTTGAGTGCGTAAGAAGCTGGGAGAGGACTCAGCTGGGACAGCTGATCCCAGTTGACCCAAGGGATATCCCCCACCATATGATGTTGTGCTCAGCATTGAAAGCTGGGGGAATGATGCAGAAGGGGGGATGATCTGGGTTTCTTTTCCTTTCCAAGTAATTGTTACTTTCGATGAAACCATATTTTCCTGTAAATGTCTGAACACCTTTCTGCCAATGGGAAATAATAAAGGAGTTCCTTATTTTGTCTTGCTTACATGTGCAACTTTTGTTTTAACTGTTAAACTATCTGTAACCCAACCCATCCGTTTTCTCACTTTCACTCTTTCAATTCTCTTCCCCATCTTGCTAGGGGACAGTGATTGAGCAGCTGTGGCACTTCACTGCCTAGCAGGGTTGAACCACAACATTAGTGAATAAAGAGACTACTTTTCACACCAGTAGTCAAGTTCCGATACATATAATGTCTGTCTTTTTATTTAAGTAGTAACTTCTTTCAGGCAGGGACTTTTCAATATCTGTAAAAATTACTGTGGAGGAGCTCAAGCTCAAAAATTGTTCATCCTGATGAGTAAGAAACCAAATGAGGGTGGCAAGAAGACTACCTGGATCAACAAGATGTTCCTGGTTGAACTTAAACATAAAGGAGAAGTATAGAAAAGTTAGAATCATGGACAGGTGCCCCAGGAGAATTACAGAGCATTATCTGAACATGCAGGGGTGTGGTTAGGAAAGTCGAAGACCACATGGAGTTGTCTCTGGTGAGTGGTGTGAGAAGCAGCAAGTATGGCTCTTCAAAGTGTATCAGCAGTAGAAATAAGATTTCTCTGGAATATGTGGGACTGCTGCTGAATGGGGGTAGGGACCCTGGTGACAAAGGACATGGAAAAGTCTGAAGTTCTGGATGCCATCTCCAGCTTTTAGTGGTTAAGACTTACCCTGGGGATTACCAAGCAACTGAGAACAGCAGGAAAGTCTTGATGGAAGAAATAGAGAAGAATCTTACTAGGGAACGTTTAAATGAATTGGATAAGTAAAAAGTCTTTGGCCCTAAGGAGATACAGTTGTGAGTGCTGAGAGAGCTTGTTAATGTCATTGCAATGCCACTCTTATAATGTCGTGGAAGTTGAAAGAGGTTCCAGAGGACTAGGAAAAAAGAAAATATCTCTCCTATCTCTCCTTCTAACCAAGGACAACAAGGAAGAACCAGGGAATCACTGGCTGATCAGCCTGAGTTCAGTCCTTGGGAGGGGAATGAAGCAACTCATCCTGGAAACCATCCAAATGTTCTAAGGAGAAGAAAGGGGTTAGGAAAAGTCAGCATGGGTTTTTATAAAGGGTGTAATGTCTGACAAATATGATGGTATTCTATGGTGAGATGACAGGTTTGGTGGATGAGAGGAAAGCAGTGGATATTGTTTATCTTGACTTTGGCAAGAATTTCAGCATTGTTTCCAATAACATCCCAATAGATAAACTGATTAAACGCAGTCTTGTTAAGTAGATTGTGAGGTGATTTGAAAGGCTAAAATGATTCTGAAGTAGCATGAAGTTTAGCTGAGGTCGAGTCACTAGTAGAGTACCCTAGGGGTAGATACTTTGTCCAGTACTGTTTAGCATCTTCATTAATCCCTTGATCGATGGGATGGGGAACATGCTTAGCAAGACCACTGACAACACAGACCTAGGAGGAGTAGTTGGCACATGAAATGGTTGTGCTGTCATTCAGGGGGATCTTGAAAAGCTGGAGAAATGGGCTGGCAGGAGGAACCTCATAAAGTTCAACAAAGGGAAATGCCAGCTGCTGCACCTGAAGATTAACCTCAGGTACCACTTTACACTGGTGGCTAACCAGCTGGAAAGCAGCCTGGTAGACGTGCCAAGCACCAGAATTAATTTCTTCCTTGTAGTTCTAAAGTACTAAAAATTGATTTCTTAAGAATATGAATTGAAAAATGCAGATGAGTGATTTATATCCTAATCTCTAAACAAGGAAATACTCTTTGAACAGTAAGATCAGACTATACAAACCATCATATTATGGTTGAAATCCGTTTGGATTTTTGGATTCCTGGATGATTTTTAATTGACTTCCTATTTAGTTACCTAAGTTATATTCTGCAATGTGTATATCATGGTTTTGTTTTCTGTAAGAATGTTGCAAGTAGTGATAGGGGCATAAATCACTGCTCATTTTTAATTTATGCTCACTCAAAAGACACTGAAGTCTTGTAAGCTTGTCAGTCTGGTAAATGTTATTTGACTCTTTCCTCATCCAAGATCGTTGGATTGATTTGTTATATGCAAAAACAAATAAACAGCAAGCTTGTTTTTTTTTAAGGATGTGGTTTGTGTAACAGCCAAATGTAACCATACATATATTTGCAAGTAAGATTCCTTTTATCTCTTTCTGACTATTTTTTAACTTGGTGCATGGCACTTGCTTTTTTCTATAAAAATACTGTCTACTTTTAAAAATGAGGGGGGAGCACTTATGGTTCTTATGTTTGAGTTTCATACCTTAGCAGTGCAGCTGAACACTAAGTTATTATCCTAGTGTCTAGGCTCAGGCCTGAAGTACAGATTAATTTGCAGGGTTTTATTTTTTCTGAAACTAGTGAACATCTTTACCCTGTTTAGTCTGTCTCCCAGGAAAATAGTGTAGCTGAGACATGATTTCAAGTCACAACATTATAGTTGGAAAGGAACATCTCTCCATAGTACTGCTACTCAGAGGAGGTTTGAAGACCATGAAAAACAAGTGTAGAGTCAAAACTCCAGTCTGAGGAGTAGTTGATAACTTGACTCTGAAAGAAGAGCAGGTTTATACCTTTAAGCTTATCCCCACCAAATCTCAGTTCCTGAAGAGAATGAAATCCTAGTAAAGCAGAGCAAATAGTTTTATGGGCATTGACTCATTGTTAGTCTAGTAAAATATTATGATTAATACTGCCATCAACAATATTGCTGGAAAAATTTCTAGAATGGCCAAGCTTTACTGAATCAAAGCAAAATTGTGGTTATATGACATTATAAAGTAGTAACAATTTAACTAAAAAAATAGTTGTAATTTTGTGAGTTACACTGATCAGTTGTAGGGGAGGGGCATGGAGAGGAAGAGGTACAATTTACCCTTATTAATGTGGGATTTGAATCAACAATCATATGAAGGAACTATGGTTTTTTTTTTTTGTAGTTGCATTTTATGCTTTTCTTTTAAGAGAACTTTGTTTCAGTATGATAATCTGTATGTAAATTAATTATGCTTTCTGCTATGCTGAAATTTCAGGGACCCCAGGCTGCACTGCAAGGTGTGAATACTGTGCAGCACGGAAGCATGGCTATTACAAGTGCTTTCGGTGGTGAAGGTGGACTCCTTCCAGGTCAAGGTTCTGTTCTTCGAATCGTTGTTGAAAATGTTTTTTACACTATCACTTTAGAAATGCTGTATCAGGTAATGAGGATTGCTTAAAAAAAAAAAATTACAATCTGTTCCAATATTGCTATTGTAAATCCATGAATTTATTTTTTTAAGTACCTGTGGATCCTTAATCTTTTGAGTGAGGACTGCCACTTTAAAATTATTTCTTGCAAATAGAGATCTAGGTTTAAAATAGTTCTACACAAATGAAATTCCAGTAAACAAAGCTTCTGTACCCTGTTTTTCATGTTGGTTTTTTTACCTTATTTTCTTTCTGCGGAAGCATCAATGAACTTGAACTGTTACTTCTGATTTATGCCCCCATGATGAATTAGTGAAATACTGATTGTTATGAACTTGTGGATCTATAGTTTAGCAAACTACAGGAGTTACTCAGTACAGAGAGTGCGTTATATTTTAGGGGTTCATATTCCATGCAAGGGATGTAATATGCAAGTTGCTTTGACAAATGTTTCTGATTGTTCATCAACTGTTAGAATGACATTTAATTACCTCTGAAAGCCCTGAATAGTGGTAGACTATAGCTATGAAAGACATTACTTTAATTTCTGCTAGGTATTTGGGTCATGCTATTGAGAGCTCTAAGTTTAAAACCAGTAACTTCGAGATCACATCTTTGTGCCCAAAGGATTTGTTGATGTTTTTAGAGATACTGCAAAGCTTTTGTAATTACTATTAGATTTATGCAGGAAAAAACATGCCCCAAGTAGGAGTTGCTTAAACTGATGTGATTTAAAATAATTGGGATGATTTTACAAGAATCTGCAGTCCTGGAAGATTTTTTCCTGCTCTGCTATGACGTCAAACAATAGATGATTGTTAGCAACAATTTATTTTTCTTCTTATCTCTTAAAATTTTCTCTTACTCTGTTTCTCCCCACCATGATACTCATTAACTAGTATAGTAATTGTCACTTTGATGTAGCAATTTACCTGATATAAACTTTTTTTGAGTGTTGTTCACTCTTTACTGAGCTTGTACAAATACTGTATCAACTGCTTAGGATTATTAGTGCCCTCAGAATAATCTGAGAACAAGCTTCTGTGGTTATGGGAACTGTACTAGTTTTAACAGTGCAAAGAGGAAATTCATGTTGGTTTAATATGATTAAAGTTTACTTCAGCACAGTAGGATGATATTTTCAGTCTCTGAATTACCCAGTGACCCTCCCTGAACTACTTTTGCAATAGGTCTATAAAATTTAGCAATATTTGAAAAGGGATCTTATTTACAGTTCTTATCAGGGGGCAGTCTCCTCTAATTAAAGCAGCACTTTGTGCCTGGTAGCTATAATCTAACATTGCATTAAGTGTGATAGGGTTAATGCAAGTGAAAATTTTCACTGTCAAGTATAGCATCATATGGAGCACTAGTAGGCAAGCTGTCATCCAAAACTTCAGTTGTATTCTGTGAGTTATAACTGCTTGTTAAGAAATTAACTTTTTAAACCACAATTCGCCTTGAAATATTTATCATAAGCAACAGAATATAGTTTTATCTATGCAGAAACAAAATTGATACATACAGTGTATTTAGGTGTACAACCAAGCAGGAGTGCATTGAATTTCATTACCTTAAAAAGATCTATTTAGTCTTCTATATAACCATGGAAAAGCATATGTTGAGAAGCTTCATTTAGGCCTTTCTTAAGAAGAAGTGCTTTATCAACAGGAAATCAATGGCTAATTTTAAATAGCTGTGGAAGGATTTCTGTTCCATTTCCTATGACAAAATGATGAGTGCAGCATTAAAATCTTGTTTTTGAGAGATGAAAAACTGGGCACAAAGGGTTGGGACACTGGTCTTGTATCCATGATTCTAGGCTGGCAAAAATAGTTATCCTTATCTATGGCCTTTCTTTCCATTGCAGGTTTAATACTTCTCAGGGGTTTCTGCTTTCCTGACTTTGCATTAATTCTAACAGTTTGTTACAAAACTATTAGTATTTCCCAAGCTCACCTTTCCTCTTTGACTGTTAATTTGGACATAATTTTTCTGTACTTGCATGATACATCCTAGCTTTAATTTTGTCCTCACTCCTTGTGCCTTTGCTTCCGTGTAGTGCACACTCTCATTTTGAGTGTATATATATTTAATTTCATCCTTTCAAAATATTTCTGTAATGTTTGCATTTGCCATAAATCAAATACCATTTGATTGTAAAGTATGTGGGTGGGTTCCAGTCTAGGTCCTTGTCTTGCTCCTTTCCTCTTTGTCTTCCAGTTTGGAGAATGGATCTTTGGAAGCACACCACCTATTTAAGTTGTATTTTTAGCTAAGAAATTTGCAGAATTTGTTTGAAGTACAGAATGTAAAGGTACTGCCTTGAAAGGCAGTTTGCAGTTCCCATTTCAACTGACTTCCAGAAACAAGGAATAATGTTGATAGGAATAGGCAGATCTATCAGCTCAATACATGGCTCCCAGGCTGGTGTAATTGGAAAAATTTAGGGTTTTTTGACCATAGGATGATCTATTCAACACCTGGTCTACTGACACCTGAGGATGCACCTGTCTCAGAGGGCAAAAAGAGTTCTAGCTTAGGAACTAGTGGGACTCATTGACAGAGCTTTAAACTAGTTGGGAAGGGGGAAGGGGGAAATACCAGTCTTGGCAGCAATGAGCAATGGGACAGTGTGCCAAAACTTGAGGAAATGGGCATTAATGGGGTCTGTCAATCTGCTTCATGAGGTGTTGGCTACAGTGTCCCACACCTGGAATGTTTCTATACAGGGCATGCAGCGTGAGGAGTGAACCAGAGGAGCTCAAAGCTTTGTCCCAGTCCCAGAGATTTGACATCATTGGCATAAGAGAAACCTGGTGGGATGAGCCCTGTGACTGGAATGCCCTGTTGAATGGTTACAGGCTCTTCAGGAGGGATAGGCAGGGCAGAAGAGGCAGAGGGGTGGCACTGTGTGTACCAGAAGGGTTAGGATGTGTGGAGCTCACAACTGGCAATGGCACAGTGGAGAGCCTCTGGGTAAGAATCAAGGGACAAACAAATAATGCAGATGTCACTGTGGGAGTCTGCTATAGACCTCCCAGCCAGGAGGTGACACCAGTGAATTATGCTTTGAGGAACTAAGGAACACTTCCAAGTCAACTGCCCTTGTCCCTACAGGGGACTTCAGCTTGCCAGCAACAACTGGGAGCATCACACAGCTGGTGCAGCCTGGGCCAGAAGGTTCCTGAAAAACCTGGATGACAGTTTTATGGAACAGGTCCTAAGGGAGTTGACTTGGACAGACGCCCTCCCTGATCTGCTGCTTGTCCACAGAGCAGATCTCGTGAGCAAAGTGGAGACTGGTGGTCGTCTTGGCCAGAGTGACCGTAAAGTGATCACGTTTAAAATATCTGCTGACAGGAGGAAAAGTTCAGCACAACCTCAGCTGTGGACATGAGGAGAGCAGATTTCAGGCTGCTCAGGGAATGACAGAGTAAAGTCCCCTGGGAAAATGTTTTTGCAGGTGCTGGGATCCATTGGTGCTGGTCACTTATTGAACAATACTCCCTGAGGGTACAGGAGCAGCAATTCCCGAATGTCAGAAGTCAAACAAGTGAGGCCAAAGGCCGGTTTGGCTGATACAGGATCTTCTCTCAGAAATAAGGCAAAAAAGGAAGGTGTATACCCAATGGAAGCAAGGTCAGGGGACACTGGAAGAATGCAGAAATGCTGTTTGCCACTGTAGGTAGAAAATTCATGCAGCCAAAGCTAAACTGGAGTTGAAGCTGCCAGAAATGTGGAGACAATAGAAAGAGATTTTTCCAAGTATGTTAATGGCAAAAGGTAGTATAGAAATGTCATCACTGTTACAGGATGAGGATGGTCCCCACACAAACAGGGACAGAGACAAGGCAGAGGTCTTTACTGCTTTCTTTGCTGCTGTCTTCAACATGGATGATGGACCAAGGGGGTCTCAGTGCCCTGACCTGGAGGACCATGACTGTGAGAAAGGATCAACTGGGAGTTAATCAGAAATTGGTGCTCCAGCTGGATGCCTACAAATCTATGGGGCCTAATGGGATTCATCCCAGAATCCTCAAAAAGCTGCTGATGTCATCGCAAACCTCTCTGTGATTTTTGAGCTGTCTTGGAAGCTGGCAAATGTTCTCTCGATTTTCAAAAAAGGCAAAAAGGTGGACCCTGGAAATGATAGACCTGTCAGTCTCACTTCAGTGCGTGGTGAACTCATGGAAAAGATTATTCTGGGAGGTATTGAGAGACACCTGGCGGACAATGTAGTCATTGGTCACAGCCAGCGTGGCTTCATGAGAGGGAAGTCCTGATTTCCTTCTACAAGGTAACTCACCTGGTTGATCAGGGAAAGCCAGCTGATGTCATCTTTTTTGGATTTCAGCAAAGCTTTTGGTACTGTCTCTCACAGGACACTTTTGGAACAAAATGTCCAGCACGCAGCTGAATAACTGTGTTACTCGGTGGGTGCAGCATTTGAACAATGTTTTCAGGCACATGATGTGATTGTTGGGGAGTTCTGTATAGGAACATGGGTTGGACTCAATTATCCTTATGGGTCCGTTCCAACTCCAGAATATTCTATGATTCTAAGACTTGGGAAAGTCCTTTTGTCAAACCTCAACTCTTATTCATTATCCACAGTTTCTCTGCAGACGTTGGACTGTTTGGGCTCTCCTTCCCTGCTCTTTGTTGATCGGTTATTGCTAAATCTTTTAGGAAGTTTTATCCTTCTTTCCCATCTCTTGTAACCTCTTTTTTAAATATTTTTTTTTTAACTGAAACAAAATTCTGAGTTCACTCAATTTTTGTTTAGCTCTCAGAACAGAAATACTTTTCAGAAGTTTATTTGAAATATTAAATGCTAGTTTTTAAAGTGTGTGAATTATTCATTGGGTCTAAAAGTCCATGTTTTTTCCTTAACAGATTTTCTCTAAATTTGGATATGTCTTGAAGATTATCATGTTCATTAAGAACAATCAGTTCCAAGTTTTGCTCCAATATGCCGATGGAATGAACGCATATTATGCCAAAATGGTAAGAACACTGTATTCAAATTGATTTTTTGTTTGTTTGTTTGCTTGTTGGGGGGTTTTCCCACTCTGGTAAGGGGGAAACATTAAGGATATCTTGATCATTACCTTTATGGTTTCTCATTGTTCTAACCCTCTTGATGCACATGAATAACTTCTGACATTCCTCATTAGTTAAGAGGACAGCACTCTATCATCAAACTGCAAACAAATATATAGCATACACCCAAGTGTATGAGTCTACTAAAACAAAAATCATTGATAAGATCCTCTCTCAGTCTTCTCAAGGCTGAACAGGCTTAGCTCCCTCTTATTTTCTACATAAGAGAGATGCACCAGTCCCTTCATCTTCGTAGCCCTCCAATGTACTTGCTCCAGGAGCTCCACGTCTCTCTTGTCCTGAGGAGCCCAGAACTAGAGCCAGCACTCTAGATGAGGCTTCACCAGGGCTGAGCAGAGGAGCTGGATTATCTCCCTCTTCCTGCTGGCAGTGCTCTTCCTAATGAACCCCAGGGTACCATTGGCCTGCTTGACCACAAGGACACACTGCTGGCTCATGGACACTTTGTTGTCCACCAGGATCCCCACATACTCCGCAGAGCTGCTTCACAGCAGGTCGGCCCCCAGCCTGTGCTGGTGCGTGGAGTTATTCCTCCCCAGATGCAGAATCCTGCATTTGCCTTTGCTGAATTTCAGAGGATTTTGCTCTGCCTGTCTCTCCACTCTACCAAAACAAAACTCAGAACTGTCAGTCATGATGAGTGACAGTAACTGTAGTTGACCGAAAAGGTTTGCCTTTCAAACAAAATGGAATATTTTCAATAAGGTTCAATGAAGAGTAGTGTTGTTAAATGCCCAGAAATTAGGTGAATATTACGTTTTACTTGCTTGAATTTCAGTGCAAAATTTACAATAATCAGTGTTTTCGTCTTGAAATTCTTAATTTCAAAGAAATTGTACTCTGACTTTTAAAATGCATGTTCTCACTGATGAAGAAAAGCTCATCTACTCAGGTATATTTTCTGTGGTGGGTTAGCTTTGGCTAGCTGCAGGAACCCACCAAGCTGCTATCACTCCCCTTCCTCAGGAGGACAGGGGGAAAAATAGAGGTGACAAAGCTTGTGAGTTGAGAGAGTGTAGGGAGATTGCTCAACAATTACTGTCATGGGCATACAGACTCGATTTAGGATAAGTAAGGAACAAAAACAAAAGTAAAAACACCTTTCCCATGCCCCCATTCCTTCTTCCCAGGCTCCACTTCCTTTGCAATCCGCTACCTCCTTCCCCTGAGAAGTGCAGCGGGATAGGGAATGGGTGCTGCGGTCATTCCATAAGAGTTTGTCTCTGCTGATCCTTCCTCCTCACACTGTTCCTCTTGCCAGCTGGGATGGTTCTGTCAGGATACAGCCCTTCCTTAACTACTCCAGTGTGGGCCCTTCTGTCATGGGCAGAATGGAAGCTTTGAACAAGGTTTACCAGGGAGACGCTCCTGTTGTGTCATGAGGTGCAGAAAGGACCCACTTGCTTTTTAAACTCCTCAGAGAGGAGTCTGAGTGCAACTGGATCCAATCTTAGCCCCAGACTTAGTTAATAGTTTATGTTTAAAGGAATTATATAGGTGTAATTTAACCTTTATACAACTTTGTCCCACTGGATTAAGGATGGCAAAAGAAATATATTTATATTAATAATTTAAATTATTTATTTAAATTTATAATAATTAGACTAAAAAACATTAATCAGAATTTTTTAGCACATAGTACAGATATAACTAATAGTACAGTGCAGTATTTATTGAAACAATATTGAAGGAATGATATTAAAGCTAGCAAAAAAATTACTCGATAGCAGTGGCTGTGGGCAAATATCTTGCTCACCATCCAGGAGTATCCTTGAGGGGCATCCACACCCAGGAGAGGAATCTACATACGTACTTCTAGAAGGGGTGTGTTTGGAGCCCCTGCTGTTAAAAAGTGGGACTGGGCTTTTATAGTATAGAGTCATTGACTGTCAGTCAGATGTCTCCAAACCAGCTGTGTCAGCTCAGCAGCTTTAGATAAGTTATCAGTAGGATCAGTTGTTTGTTCCTTTATCAGGTGCCTTGTACACCACATCCTCACTGGTGCCAGTTTCTGTCAGGTAACATTGTTCTTCCTCAGAATGTTTAACTTTGGAATTGATGACTCAGGCTGGTCTCAGCATCCTTCAACACCAAAAGCAGCATGACCCCCTTTTCCATGCACCACCAATAACTTTTGCAAATAGGGTAAAGTTCAAGCTAGTTACCCCCACTTAGGCAGAGCAACCTGATACACCATCCCACAGGCTGTAAGTGGGATGGATATCTGTTCCACTGGGGGCCCCATGGGCTGCGGGGGGACAGACAACCTGCCTCACCATGGTCTCCAGGGGAATCTCTGCTCTGCTGCCTGGACCACCTCCTCCTCCCCCTCCTTCTCTGACCGTGGTGTCTATAGGGATGTTTCTCTCATTGTTTCTCACATCTCACTTATCCCTCAGCTGTTGCACAGTGGTTTTTTACTGTTTCTTAAACATGTTACCACGGAGGTGCCACCAATATTCTCCTTCACTTTATACAGCAGCAGATACTTTTTTTTTGAAAATACCTAATATATTTTTTATCTAAACAACTTATTCTGAAAGTTTTCTTATAATGGCTAAATATTTTAATTTCTAAAAAATACTGTTAATTAGTTTCCTCAGTGATGAGTAGTTTTATAATTAAATGTTGAAAACTGAGTACTTGAAGACTTTTGCAGAAGGGACAGCACTGTTAAAATCATTGGGTTATAATACTTGAACTGTGAAGTTAAAGACAAAAATAAAACACTTCACTTATTTGAAACTAAGCCTGAGACACTTTGATTTTATTTATTTACTAATATTGAGGTGACCATGTATTTTAAAGAGAAAGAAAATCTGAAAATTCCCATTGAAGTATATAGAATAGATTCCTCGAAGCATTAAGTGTTATTTAGGATTCAGTTAAAAAAGAAAATTACTGAAAGATGAGATAGAATGGAACTTTTACCTTACTTTTGTTATTGAACTTGACTTTATTCTCAGCTTCAACAGAAACGGTTCAGGATATTTAACTATTTCTACTTGCACTTTAGTTCAGTAAGTAAATTCACTATGTGTTCAGAAGTTAAGAATATATTGGAAATCAGTAAATGTAGTTGGACTTATAGCCTGGTTGTTAGCAATAGTATTTTCTTAAAGAAGAATATATATAATAAATTATACCTAATTAAAGATTTCACAGGAATTACAATTTCAGTCTAAATTATTTTAAATAATTATGACAAACCAGTATCTTTTGAGTGATTTTTCCCCACCCCTCCCTTCATCCATCATGATTCTTTTATGACTGGTATAGGCAGAAAATACTACCTCAGTAATCTTTCTGAGCATAGCTACTCATGAGAAAAGGGATTTTATGGATTCACAGATTGGGTAAGGTTGAAAGGGACCACTATAGGTCATCTAGTCCTACTTTCCTTCTCAAGTATTCCCTGGAGTGCATTGTGCAGGATTTGTGTGCAGATGGCTTTAGAATATCTCCAGGAAAAGAAACTCCACAACCTCTCCAGGCGATCTGTGCTTGGTCACCCACATAGTAAAGAAGTTCTTCCTCATATTCAGGTGGAACTTGCTGTGTTCCATTTTCTGCTTGTTACCTCTCATCCTATTGATTGACACCACTGAGAAGAACCTGGATCCATATTTCTTGATACTCTCCCTTCAGATACTTACAGACATTGAAAAGGTCCTCTCTCAATCTCTTCTCAAGGCTGAACAAGCCCAACTCTCTCAGCTTTTTTTTGTGAAAGAGATACTCCAGTCACTTAATCATCTTTGTTGCCCTCCAGTGGGCCCACTCCAGGAGCTCCATGTGTCTCTTGTACTGAGGAGCCCAGAACTAGGCACAGCACTCCAGGGGAGGCCTCACCAGGGCTGAACACTCTTCTCAAGATCACCTCCCTCGACCTGCTGGCAATGCTCTTCCTAATGCACCCCAGGATACCATTGGCCTGCTTGGCCACATGGACATAATAGACAAACAAGGTTGTCCACCAGGACACCTTCTCCACAGAGCTGCTTTCCAGCAGGCTGCTCCCAGCCTGTGCTGGTGCATTGCTTTATTACCCCTCCAGGTGCAGGATACCGCATTTGCCTTTGTTGAACTTCAGATGGTTCCTTTCTGCCCATTTCTCCAGCCTGTCAAGCTCCTTCTGAAGGGCTGCACAGCCCTCTGGGACATTGACCACTCTTCCCAGCTTTGTGTTGACAGTGAACTTGCTGAGGAGGCATCTGCCCCTTCATGCAGGTTGTTGATGGATAAGTGTCGTGGTTTTGCCCAGCCAGCCAGACCCTGGGGCTAGGGATGGTTTTGTCCAGGTGGATTTCTGGACAAGAAGCCAATTAAAACTCTCAGTAACGCCTTTGCTAATTACATATTTAAGAAAACGCAAGAGAAGGTTCGTGGCATAGTTAAAATTAGGCAGCCATGTAGGAGCAGCAGCGGGCCCTGAGGAGGGCCAGGGTCCCCTCCTCCCCCGGCTTGGGCCGGGGGCAGGTGTGGCACTGAAACCCCCCCTTCTCTCTTGTAAGAGAGTGAAGAAAAAAACTTTAGAAAAGTTTTTTGTCGGGGTTTGATTCGACCACTGCCTCTCCAGGCAGTCTGTGCCCGCAGTTCTCCACCAAAAATGTTGTGGTTTTGCTCTGGGTCAGTTTGCTTTCACAACCCCCACACAATTGCTATTAGTTGAGAGAAGGTTTATGTAGACAAAAGAGACTGGATTTGGGGAAAATAGTATGAACATTTATTACTAGCAAAATAAAAACTACTAAGGAACTATATAACAACTTTACTTAAGTAAAAAGTACTGTGTATTTACAGAAAAATACTTCTCCCCCTTTTATATTAGTCCAAGGAGGAGAAGCAGTTTCTTCCTCCATTCTTGGAGCTCCAGGTTTCTTCAATAACTTCGCAGCACTCTCGTCATAACTGGAACTCTTTCTCTTTCTTTCTTGCTCTGTGTTAGCCTCCAGGGCTGGGCTTACCCCCCTCCTGGGCTAAGACCGGAGGCTGGAGGTTACTTAGGTCCTGAAGGTCTTGCAAGGGGACACTTGCCTACCATGGATCTTCTTCCACGGGATTACAGGGGATAATGGCTTATGAGTCCACCCCTGTTTCCTGTGGAGGTCACTCTCCATGGGAGAACAGTCCTTGATAGACCTCTCCAGCATGAGTCTAGCATGGATCTCACGCGTGGATCTGAACATCCTTACCCGAGCCGTTTTCTGCTCTGGTGTAAGGCGCTCTCTCTCAAGGTCACAAATCTTCAGTAGCAACATGGATTTCTCACTTGGATCCCAAGCTTACCCAAGCCGTCTACTCCGGCATGAGCCTCATCCCTTCAGGGTCATAAATCTTCAGTGGGACTCTGCCTTATCTCAGTCCTTCTCATGAAGTCTCGGTTCTCTAGTACATCCACAAGCTCCTCTGTGAGCCACATGGGGGGTCCTCACCCCAACAATCTTCTACAGGTGACAGAGGTTACTTTTCAGTCTTTTCCCTGTTGAAGGGAGAGAGCAAAAGGGGGGGAGAAACAGCCCTCCCTCTTTCGAACTTTTTTTTTCTCTCCTGCAGCTGCCAGCTTTGACCTTGGACACTCTGTTATCTCTTTACTGGAATTCCTTCTGCAGCTTTTCTCATCCAGGCTCTTCTCTAAAGTTTTTTTCTTCACTCTCTTATAAGAGAGAAGGGGGGGCTTCAGTGCCACACCTGCCCCCGGCCCAAGCCAGGGGAGGAGGGGGCCCTGACCCTCCTCAGGGCCCGCTGCCGCTCCTACATGGCTGCCTAATTTTAACTATGCCACGAACCTTCTCTTGCGTTTTCTTAAATATGTAATTAGCAAAGGCGTTACTGAGAGTTTTAATTGGCTTCTTGTCCAGAAATCCACCTGGACAAAACCGTCTCCAGCCCCAGGGTCTGGCTGGCTGGGCAAAACCACGACAATAAGTTAAACCCTTCTGGGTCAGGTATTGAATCTTGAGGGATACCACTAGTGACAGGCCTCTACCTAGACTCTGTTCCCTCTGGGATCTGCCTTTCAACCAGTCTCTATCCACCTTACTGTCCATTGTGTTGTTTGTCCAACACATGTCAGGATATTTGAAATCCCCTGTGGCAATCAGGACTTGTGACTGTGAGGCTTCTTCTAGCTGTCAGTAAAAGGGCGTCCTCTGTTTCTTCCTCCTGATAAGGCAGCCTGTAGAAAATAGACACAATAGTGTGCCTTGCTAGCCTGCCCTTTAATCCTAAATCTTAAACTCCCAACTTGCCCACTATCCACCTCAAGACAGAACTTCATACATTCCAGGTGTTCTTACATAAAGGTCAGCTCCACATCTTGCTTTCCTGGTCTGTCTTCACATAATAAAAGCGTATAGCCGTTCATGACAACATACCAGTCATGTGAGCTGTCCTACCTGGTCTCTACAATGAAGAGAAAATCAAACCTTATGACTTTGCACAGTCCTATAAATGTTCCTGTTTATTTCCCATAGTACGTGCATTGGTGTACTGATACTTCTGTGTGGTATTCAGGCTTGTCCATTTCTCAGGAGAGGTGCTACAAGATATCCCACAATCATGTCTTGTAGACACTTTCTGGACTGCATGCACTTATTGGAAGTATCCTCACTGGAGCTTTGTTTTGTTTCCTTTGTCTTTCCTAGTTTAAGGCTTTCATTACTAGGTTGGCTAGTCTCTCAGTCAAGACTGCTAATCAGCTCTTGATCTTCAAACAGGGTCCCGTGGTTATAGGAACCAAAACCGTGTTGCTGGCACTAGTCTGGAGCCAGTTGTTTACTTGGTGAATTCATCACCTCTTTCTCTTGTCATTTACCTTAATTGGAAGGATTGAGCAGAAACCAGTCTGAGTTTCTACACCATTGACCACCATCCCCAGAGCTTTGAAACCCCATTTGATAACTCCCAATTTACCCTTGCTGTCTTTAGTTTTCATGTGAAACAGCAGCAGGAGGTAATAGTTGGATATGTGGAAAGGCCTTAGCAGTCTTTCCATTACATCTGTGATTCAAGACCCTGGCAGATGAGACGCTATTAGACCAGCAGTCAGGTCAGCAGATCGGTGCTTCTGTCCTCCTCAGCAGGGAGTCAGCTGCAATAATCACCCACCACTTCTTCAGCATGATCTGTAGCACAGGATCCACCTACTCTGTTGCTTCACTTGAAATCAAACTCCGGGAGTTTACACTGGAAAAGAACCTTGAGGTCATCGAGTCAAATGATAAACCTAACACTGCACAAGTTCACCTCTAAACCATGTACCTAAGCACCACATCTGCACATCTTTAAATACCTCCAGGGATGGTGACTCCACCCTTCCCTGTTCCAGCCTATCCCAATGCTTGGTAACCCTTCTCATGAAGAAATTTTTCCTAATATCCAATCTCAACCTCCCCTCACAAAACTTGAGACCATTTCTTCTGTCCTATCTCTTTATTACATGGGATAAGAGAGCAACCCCCACTTCTCCTTTCAAGTAGTTGTAGAGAGCAATAATGTCTCCACTGAGCCATTTTTCTCCAGGCTGAACAATCTCAGCTCCTTCAGCAGCTCCTCGCAGGATGCTCCACACCCTTCACGAGTTTATGTAAGGGTCAGTTCCATGCAGTAAGAATTTCCAAATTAGTATTGTTACTAGCAGCTAATATTGTGTGTTGAGTGGGAGACAAGTGAGATCAGAAACACATGTCGTGCTTAAAGCTCTGTTTTGTCCAATTGGCACAAAGTGATGTAATACTTATTAGCTACTGGACTACACTGGAACTGTACACAGGATGTTTAGGTAAGGATAGTAGCAGCAGAATTGTCTACCTAGTGTTTAAAAACAGCACTTTAAAAACAGAGGATGAATTACTCTTTGGATACAGTTGTAAGGTGAAAATCATGGAATGGTAAGCTGGGACATCTTCAACAAGATCAGGTTTCTCAGAGCCCAGTCCAATGGGCTCAATCTCCTCTCTGAGCAACTTGTGCACCAGCTTCATTGTAAAAAGCTTCTTTCTCATATCTAATCCAAATTGACCCTTCTGTTTAAAACCATTCCTGCTTGGCCTGTCACAACAGGCTCTACTAAAAGTACCTAAGTACTGAAAGGCTGCAATAATAAACTTACAATAGTGGCTGCTCTAATGTGTTTTGAATCTGAAAACGTAATTATTTTTCTTCAGTCTTTGGATGGCCAAAGTATCTACCCTGGGTGCTGCACTCTGCGCATTGGTTTCTCCAAGTTAACTAGCCTAAAGGTAAAGTACAACAATGACAAAAGCAGAGATTTCACTCGCACTGATCTTCCTTTTGGTGATGGCCAGAGACCTCCGGACACATCCTTAACCTCTTCTGCCTTTGGTAAGAAATCTTCACTTCTAGTGATAAATACACACTAAGATAATAATTTTTATGTTGCATTTATGCTCTAGCTTCATATCAAGTTCATAGAAGGGTACATTTTGCATACATTTCTGTGTGTTAGGTCCAGTAAAATTTGTATGGAAAGCAGAAAGTCCAACTCAAGATAAATTAATATCTCTAACTATAACACAAGGAAAGCTCATGGGCAAAATTAAAGTGTTGTCAAAAAGCTACATTTGTAAAATGCTTTGAAATGGTATAATTAGTACATGCAATTTAATAAATGTTGCGTATCAGAATGGTCAGTGAAAGTCATCACCCATTAACATTGACTGCCTAAGACTGTGTGAAAATAAGTGTTTTAAGGGTGTTGGCTCTTTTTTTGAGTATATTTTAGGATAGCTGCCTGTTTTATCACAAAAAAAAAAAAAGGAAAATTCAAAATGCCACATTTATAAATGTTTATAGTCACCTTCCGAAAGATAAAATTTTAGAAGTTTTCTTGAATTTTAGAAATCACTTCCATGGCACAGAGGAGATAGTGTCTGCTTGAAGTGACACTGGAGAAGCCCTTTTGGCTTAAATGGCTGTGCCATGCTCATTTAATCAGCTTTGCTGATAATGCAAATCACCAAACACATGGATCTGATGACCTGGCAGAAGTGGTCATAATGCAATTTGAGCTATTTTAGCTATTTTTCTTTCTCTCTAAGATAATCATTAGCAATAATCCATAAGTAAGAGCTACCTTAGCTGTTGAATAGGTATCTAAGTGCTGTCCAGTTGATGAGCACAGTAGAAAGGGGGGGGGAATAATTCCATTTTTTCCTGTAGTTTTCTGTGATGGCTAGGGCAGATACTGGGTTTCCTTTATCTTTTTGATAGCTGAGTGAGGTAGCTTAGATTAGAATAAGAAAATGAGTTGCACTCACTACTTTCTCAGTTGTTTTTACTGCTGCCCTTAAAGACAGGCCTTGGATCTTTGCATAATGTACAACTGTCCTTATATGCTGGGTTGGAGCGAGGGGGGTGGAATTTGCCATAAAGCATTATAGAAATATGCTGTTACAAGTCTAATATATTCTGATTAATTAGACTTGCACTATTTGAAATGTCATTGGAAGGGGAAAAGTACATTTAGAGTAGATTAAGGATGAACTTGCAGAGATAACTTTGTGCTTTTGGAGGATAACACATGAAAGCTGCTCCATTTCCTCCCCTCACTCTTCCAGGCTTCTTGTTTTTCGTATTACAGTTTTCGTTTACTGTAATAGTAAGAACAGCAGAGATGCTGGTATGAAGAATAGTCTGATGTCTATACCCAAATTTGTTTATAGTGAAATCACAATGAAGCAGCTGCACAGATATTTTTCTTTCAAAAAAATAGCTGTAGATGGGGAGGAGCATGCTTCCTAGTGTTTCTGTCAGTGGTGACAACATGTATATGTTGTCATTGGCATGTTCTGGTACAGATTGTTACAGAACATGAGAAAAAGATGTGAGTCATGTCAGCACTTCCACTTCCTATTTTACTATGTATTACTAGTTGGATGTATTTTGGATGGAGAACTATAAGATAAAGCAGGTAACTATCAGAATAATACATCCTTTTTTTTCCCTAGACTTGAAGTTATCTTAATAGCAAAACTGAACTTTTTTTCTATTAAGTTTTGGTTTTGGTGGAAAAGATACTGCACTGTAAACAAGCAGATTTTGTGAATATTTTGTACTTAAAGAGTTCCTTCACCTAGTGAGCATAAGCAGAGATACATGAATTAGCTTGCTTTGAAAGCTAGCTGCTAGCCATGAAGCAAATGATTTTGCACATTAAAGAAAAAAAAAAAAAAAAAGACAACAAAGAATTCCAGATCTTTCAGCATTAGTTCAGTTTGACAATTTTTACATGCCTGATTTTGGTATCGATGTGCAACATGCAGGTCTTATTCAACAGAATAAAAGCTCTATATCTATTTCTTTGTTAATCTTTCCATTACCATTTTTAGATTGTGAATAAGTGATTAATAACTGTATTGCCAGAATTTGTCAGTATAATGCACCAGTGCATGTATTTCAAGAACACAATTACTTGCTTTGGTGTGATAAATGTGTTCTGTTGTTTGTATGAAAAGACACTTTGTTGCCACAGATAAGGGGAGGTGTAATGTGATGCAGTATTCATGAATACTTGATCTTTGGTGTCTGTTCCATTTGTTGCTTTTGTAATTCATAATGGATACTTATGGTATTGTATCATGCATTGTATCAAGGACCATTCACTAGTGAATGTGGCTGTATTTTAGTCAATGGTGGAGGTTTGACTAGTAAAACAGAAATATTACCAAGCTTGTAGGATGTATTTTTTCATTATACATGTCTCATTTTAAAGAAAAAAATCTGGGTTTTGCTAACATATGAAAGAATCCACAACTCAGGCTTGTACCTAACTACCTCTTAGAACACAAGTTTTTACCTTAGGTAGCACTTAACTCCACATACTAATGTGGAACTCACTGAGCCATCTGTGAGGCTGGGACTGCCGTAAATTGCTATTCCAAATCTGTTTCATGCTTATGATTTCCAGAGGAACCATAAAAAACACTGGTTATTTATGAAGTTATGCAAACTGGGAATGTACATCTCTTTAAAAAGCAAAATACATATACTTTATGCATCTCAGCAGCTAGTGAAATTCAGAATCTCAGATTAGTTGTTGTTTGTCTTGTTTAGATTATACTAATTTTATAAATATCCAGGACATAGTTTTATCTTATCATGGCAAAACATCTTTGACTGTCTTTACTTTCAGCAAATTTCTAGAATGCATATCCATCACATGACTAAAAACTGTTGAACACCACAGACATACTAACGTTATTGGATACTAGTTTATGCTATGCTTTCCTATTCGAACTTGTCTAACTTATGTTTTGCCCAAACTTCATTTTAGAGAGGGACACTGAAGCTGACCAGAATATTTGCCTTCAAAAGTGGCTGAAAATTATCTTTGTAAAACATAGGATCTTGGATTTCAGTGAGAGATTTTAACACAAACGTTTTATAAGACGTGTAATCACAAAGTCAGAATAACAACACTGGCAGCTGATTCTGAGTCTTGAAACCTCTTTTGTTTTCCAAAACTTTTGAAATCTGTTTTAATTAGATGTGTCTCCTCTCTCTAGCCACTCAAAATACGATATTGGTACCATATACAGGAGCTACTGGATTTGCCCAACCCTTGGGCTTTCCTCAAGGTGCTGGTAAGTTTGTGTTTTCTGAAAATGTGGTATTTGTAGTTATGGCTAGTGGGCTATCTGAATACACCTGGTTAAAGCAAATTGTTTTCAGATAGAGCAATCAGAACACAGTATCCCTTTGAGTAATTCTGTATCTCTTTCTCATATAACTCAGTAAAATTACTTTCTGTAATAAAAAAAATATACTGATGTAGTTTATAGTTTAATAAAAAATTAAATGCAATAGTAAAGATTACCTGCTAGAGAAGAAATTAAGCATCTGTTTTTCTAAGAATCATAGGACTACAATGACATTCAATGCAAATACAGAAAGTCTCCCCTTTCCTGTTTAGAAAGTGAGAAATAAATAGTTTTTTAGACTGAGTGATCTTTTCCTTTCTAGCACAGGATAAACTTTTGTACTGAATTATTTTTCTTCTTTCTTGGACTACAATTTATGTCCCCTTTTGTTTGGGACTGTTTGTGTAGCTGAATATTTCTTCATCTCTGAAAGGAAGGCACTTCTGCTTTATTGGTCAGGTACTATTAATAACTAAATTCCTTAAAAGCATTTTTAAGTTGAATACTGATATTTTTGCGAAACATAATCTGCTTTTCTCTTCTTTCTCTTCCACTTTGAGATGTCAGGTGATGCTATTTATACCCTTCCAGGTGTTTCAGTTCCAAGTGTTCCTGGACTACTTGGTTCTCTCACAGTTGCCCCGTCAGCAGTGTCTGGACAGATTCCTGCTGTTACTGGTATTCCAGGAAATTCTGTTTTACTAGTCAGCAATCTCAACCCTGAAGTAAGTTTGATTGGTGGAACTGATGCAAATAGTACCTTGTACCAACTGCCAGAATCCTTCTTGGAAATGGACGTTGGCTGAAGGAATAAGAGGAATTAGGAATTCTCTATGCTGATAATGTGAAAAACAGGGCAGCTCTATACTTCTTTGAGGTAGTTTGTAATAGTGATGAGGCTGAAAAACTCCAGCCATCAGTGAAAAGCTTCCTGATACAATTTACTTTAGGAAACCTCTATTAGTAGTGTAGCTTGAAAATAGAAGGAAGTCCATGGTAAAATGTGAGAAATGTGCTTCTATTTGCTGCTTTATCTGTAAAGAGGGCAAAGAATTTTTCATTTATTAAAAACCAAGGAATTAGAAAAAAAGGAGGGAAGAGAAAAGGAGATGAAAGTATGCCAAATCAAGTACCTTTCTAAACACGGATAGGATCTTTCTAGTTTTGCACCTTTTCCCAGGTTGGAGAGGAAACACGGGTATGCTTGGCTATTGACATCCCCATACATCTGTTTTTAAAAGTGAATATATACACATGTTCACTTTTCATAGTACCACCCAGATTTTGTTTTTTTCATGTGTTGGCAGTAAAATTACCAAGGACGACTTGGAAAGTTATTTTTATAGTGGAAGTGACATAGGCTATTCTATAATCTTATTCCTGTTAGTCAGATATTACAGACTGATCTGTGCTTAATTTAAAGCCATGTACATATTTTAAAAACCAAACAAACAAAAAACCAAAACCAAACAAACAAAAAACCCAAACAAACGAAAATCAAGCTTTACCAAGGCCATGACTTAAAATACAATTCTGCTTGATTGTTGATAAGCAGTCCTGTTGCAACACAGTAAAATTCTTGTTTTACACACTCAATACATTTTACTTAACCATATAACTGTTAAAATTAGGAGTGATGGCAAAATGGAAGCTACCTTCATATTCTGAGGTTTAAAAATCTGTTGACCGGGTTTTTTAGGTAACTGTTTTGTTTCTGTTTTTGTACAAACAGCCAAATTCCATGGTAAACATAAAAAGAAACAGTTGTAAGACAAGTCCCTTTCTCTTTGATTTGTCAGTATATCATATCAGTGAGTCTCTGTTGAAGGCTGTAGTTGTGCTTCCTGCAGCTGATTATTCAAGATGATTCTCTGAATCTTAAGAATAAGCACATGTCAAACATAGGTTAGAGCTATTTTTAGGACATTGCTCCTTTATGTAATACTAACAATATCTAAGGAGTCCTGTATAACTTTATGATGTAATGCATTTCACGGTATCAACACATTAAATAATGCTCAACTTCTTAAAAGTTATAAAATAAGTATGTACTACAGCATTAATTGTTGGAAATATATTTCATGGCAACTGTGTAGCACTTGTCCTTCTGTAGTGGTTGTCTGAGCCCTGTCACTTCTTTTTCTGTGTATAGAAAATCTTATTAACCTTATTTCAATTTGTATTTCTCCACTATTGCAGGGTTTCAATGTGCACTTGAACATTTCCATGTGACTTTTAAATTACCTGGTTTTGTCTTCCAAAAAAATTTTTTGGTGGTTTTTTTTTAGTAGAAATATTGTGGTCTCATTTGGATAAGAAATTTCATAAAACACTGCTCTACATTGAATTAAAATATTTAGGCCAGAAAGATAAACTCTTGATGAATTTTAATTTCATATTGATAGTAATTGTTCTCTGTTACTAAATACTAGTGATAAATGGGTATGGTCTTGCACTTATGCTGCAGTATCTTCCTTTTTTGAAAAATTTAGATATTTTGTTACACATTTCAAATGTTGTGAGATGAGAAGGAATAGGGCTAGAGAGTGTGAGTAGTACTTCTGATAGCCAAGTATTTTTAATACTCATTACTGGCAAAACCTTTGTCTCAATTGAATAAGTTTTGGCTGCGTTAGAGTGTAAATGATCTCTGGTGCTTGGCATACAAGAATTTAATTGAACAGCTTCTGTTCAAACACAATTTAAATACCACTTTCTGTAAGCTTCATATATAAACAGTTAAATTGTATGTATATCACTTTAGAACGTCACAGTCATCATCTAAAGGGATGGGGACAGAATTGAAGACAAGACAAACACATTTTGAAGCAACTAGGTTTGGTTTCATAGGTGTTGTCTGCTGTTTACAAAATACAAATGAGTTCTTGAATGTCCTTTTCTATTTTTAGTTTAGCAAATGTTTTTCATTTTTTCAGGGAATTAGCTGCTAGCTTAAGAATAAGTTCAAATAATAAAGCTACTTAAAATATTAATAACTTCTGCAGCATGACACAATGAGTCTTGAGTGATGAAAATGCATGAGCTGAAGTGTTAGCTTGTTTAAATACTTTACATGTGCATCGCAAATACATACTAACAAGAGTGCCATACACTGTAGTTATTGCAGGGAATGGCTTTTGGAGAGACAGGTTTATGTATTGGTGTGCAGTATTTCTTCCATTCTTTTTGTTTACCATACACTTATGGAATAGATGTCTTTATTTGCATGGCTTTAGAAATAATATACTTATTTTATCATTTAAACAGGCCATCACACCATATGGACTTTTCATCCTGTTTGGTAAGATATGTCAAATATCCCTTGAGAAACCACAGGGCTAGCATTCTTTCTATTTATTTGACACCTGCTTGTTAATTCAAGCTTCATTGTTTTGTCCATGTCCAAAAATGCACAAGAGGATGCACTGGTTTTAAAATTACAGTAATTTGAGTCAGGAGTTATAGGACACAGATACCAAAAAAAAGGCAAAATATTTATAGTGTCAGATGAATTTCAGGGTGTGGTCCAGTTCGTTTACTACAAAAATGGGAAGACAAAATAGGAGGCAAAAATAAATATTGCATCAGAGGAAATGCTGGATTGGCTCATACATTAATGGCAGGGGACAGGTTTTGGCATAGTAATATTTTAATATGCCTCTATTAAGGGGACTTTGACAACTATTGCACTAATTAAAAGCTGAACATAAACATGCAGTTTTATGACCAAGATCCTGGGGGTTTTCCTCCATTTTGGAGCCTCAGAAAATAATATACAAACTTTAAAACTGTCCTTCATACTAATATTCTAACCAAGCTGTTTAATGAGATGATTATTCTTTGTAAATCTAATGTTAATCAAAAGAAACAGACTTGCCCTTCTGCTGCTTGTAATAGTGCTATGAGAGATTTCCTCTCTGTGTTTCCACAGGTGTGTACGGTAATGTGCATCGTGTGAAGATCATGTTTAAGAAAAGAGGAATTGCTTTGGTCCAGATGGCAGATGCAACCCAGGCTCAATTAGGTATTGATTTTTAAGGCACAGTTATGCTTCAAACTAGCATGAGCATAATATAAAGGAGGAATTTGCCCTCTGTCTGTGGCAAGCATAAACAAATTAAAGCTATCATTGTGCTGCGTTACTACATACAAACTTTTCCTTACCTATGTTGATAATACTCTAAGTGGTTTAAAAACTAAGTTCCTATAAATCTCAGTCTAGTAAATATTAGAATTAAAGCATCATACAATTTTCCTGTAGTTTACTTTAATAATACATCATCTGATTTTCCTGTAGTTTATCTTATGTCTAGCTATTTCATAATAATCAACTGTTCTTTACTGAAATGCTGTTTTGCATTTTTGTTGCATTTAGACTGGAGACTATATTCCATCCTTGTTCTTGTTTTAAATACAATGGTGTGGCATAACCCACCTGGTAGACGTGCAAGTTGCAGTTTAAATTTAGACTGTGAAATCTGGCACTGAGTAGAAAACAATATTAGTATTTAAAGAATCGTCTTTTCTTCCCCTCCATTTATTCCTGTTCAAATTAAATTTCCACTGGTTAGCTATCAACCACTTGAATGGACAGAGGCTTTATGGAAGGGTCATGCATACTACTCTTTCAAAATATCAGACAATTCAGCTTCCTCGTGAAGGGCAAGAGGACAAAGGTCTGACCAAGGACTATAGCAATAGCCCTTTACATCGCTTTAAGAATCCTGGCTCTAGGAACTGCCAAAATATCTTTCCTCCATCTGCCACCCTGCATCTCTCCAACATCCCGTGAGTATCTACATGTGTGATTTTCTTGGAGAGATGTTTTTTAGGTTGCATTCTTAAGTTACAAAGTCTGACATAAGCTTTACATTCCCTTGGCCTTCATTCTGCTGTGGATCATTCTGCTGTATAATTAACAATAAGTTAATCCTTTAACTGTCCTTTTTTTTTTATCATTAGCAATGAGGATAACTGTTTGAATTATCTTCTTGATGAGTTTTAATCAGTTGATTTTTTACCTATTAAGTTCTGTGTTACAAATTTTTGCAAAGATTAAACGTGTTTTGAGATTACGTACTGGAATTACATTGACAATAAATTTGTCATTGACATTGTTACTTAATATAGATACAGTTTTTACTAATTCTTACACTTCTAAAAGTAATTTCTACAGAATTCAGATCTCTTTCATGGAGAGGAAGTTGTAAAAAAAAAAAATGTTAAGAATGGTGTTCTTTAAGACTGAAACAATCTACTTTTTATATGTAGAATGTTGTCAACAATGTGTGGAGTACAGCCAAACATAAGTTTTTATAGGCTTCAATTGTTTGGCACCTGTGCAGGGAGGGAAAAGAGGAAACTATGGAATTTGGTCCAAGTAACAAAGGAAATTATAAGACACTTAGAAAACGGCTTTTTGAATGAAATAAAAAGCCTCAGAACTGAAAATACATGAAGCACAGTCACTCAAGTTTCAAGATGAAATGTATTCATGAAGGTACTGATTAAGACCTTAAGAGAATTTTATGCAATCTGAATTTAACTGAGACAGAAATGGGGTTGGATGAAAAGCAGTATAGTGTAGCTGAAATAATTTTGTAGCACAAAGCCAAGTTGTTGGGCTGAATTGTTGACAAGGTTTGACTTGGTGGAGATAGTTTTTGCTGTTCAAATTTAATTTAGAAGCCAAGATTGAGATCTTGATATTATTATAGAACTCTCTGGTGTTCTACAAGTTGAGGGGAGTTTGGTTTGGTTTTGTTCATTTTTTTTTTTTTTAATTAGGCCTTCTGTTACTGTTGATGATTTGAAGAACCTTTTTGCAAGTAAAGGATCTACTGTGAAGGGCTTCAAATTTTTCCAGTAAGTTCTCTTGTAAAATTGCTCAGCAAGCTTTCATCCTGGAAGATGGCTATTGCTTTTTTGGCACATTCCGTGTATTTATAACTGTAGGCAGAATTCTATGTACATATACCTATAGGCAAAAGCAGTACACCTATGACAATTTTAATGATAACTTTAATCTTAAAATTTTAAATGAGATGCTATATTATCATAATCAAAAATATGCAGCCTTTGGACAAATTCCATATATGTTCAAAGTAAAGTAAGTTTAAGGAAAGTAAATGCTTGCTTCTTTAAAAATGCAAGCTGTGTATATGTAAAATGTCATATAAAAGTTCACAGTGTCTCTGCTCTAACATTTATTAAGGTTACTTGACAGCATTATTTTATCACAATCATACCTGCTAGAATAATCCCATCTATATGGACAATACAAGTGTTTTCTAGAGGCCTTCAAGCCTTATTTTGACCCAGTTTTTTGAAGTCCAGTGTAATGAAACAATGGCATGGCTTTAGGCCATTTTTGCAAAATTTATATAGTTTTGTTATCTTTACATTTTAGCAGGTGCATAACTAGTTCTGATGCTTTTACTGTACAAGTGTTCAGTGCGTGTGATATGGCTGAAAAAAAACCACTGATGTGACTCTTCTGTCTTGGCTAGTGAAAATTTGGTGAAGATTAATAATGGTTTTTATTGTACTTCAGGAAAGATTGCAAAATGGGTCTTATCCAACTGGGCTCTGTGGAAGAAGGAGTTCACGCTCTCATTGAGCTTCACAATCATGACTTTGGAGGAAACCAACATCTCCGAGTTTCCTTCTCAAAATCTACAATCTGAATTTTCTGTGCACTTTGCTTTTAAGGCTTCATAGCAGTTTTAGTAAAATCTTCAAGTAGAGACTGAGGCAACTGAGACCAGCTCTGTCTCTTAAAAGAAGCAGCTCATTAATACACAAAGAATTAAATGATGATCTTTTCTGATTCTAGCTGCAAGTATGTGATCCATAGAAAGATTCTTCTGTGAAATAGCTTTAGCAACAATATTTATCAAATTTCCTACTTAAAATTATATTTTGAGAACATCCTTTAGGTTTTTATTCTCAATCAGCCTTAGAAAACATTTTAGAGTGCTTTTACAATACACCAAACAATGAGTATTATTAACAAAATGGTAAATTTCCACTGCGAAGATTAAACACTAATTTGAATGTGAAGTAGTTCTTGAGTTGAAGAAAAGCAAGCAGTGACTGTGAGTATCCTCTAAATAGTATTTATGTTACCAGGGTGTGGGTTTATACTTTGGCAGATCTTTACAAGTAATTTGTTTGTAAAAATAAGAAGTCTGTGCTGTTCCTACAGATTAAATTATTAGAGATAAGGCAGTGCCTTCTCTATGTGGAGTAAAAGATATTTCACACGTTTCTTCAAGATACGGTATCAGAGATTTAGGTTGACTTAACCATGGAATGGAATTTTGTCCTATTTTTACTATGAAGTGATGTGTAATTGTATTTTGGAGAATATAAAAAAGAAAGTAGTCGTGATTTAAAATAAATTTTTGCATTCCTCTAAATAATTGTTTACAATCTTATGAAAACTGTTCAGGTCTGTGATGGTATGACAGGTTTTAAAGAAGTTATTTTTGTGAAGGTCATCTTTGGGGCACAAAAAAAACACCTGAAGAGATTTTTTTACCACTATACTTAAGTAAGTGTGTATTTACCTAATTTCTTATTATGTGCCTTACTATGTGTGTAATTTACAATAGCTTAGAGCGTTATCTGAAGTGTCTGAAATATCTTGAAAAAATATTGTGAGCTTTGTGATAATTCTCTTCTTGGTCTTTTTAAAAGTGTTTTCCTTAATACTTCAAGGTATATTTTTTTTATTAGGTAATTCTCTGAATTCTAGTTTCCTGTGCTTTTTTATAGTGATTGGGTATAGGGGGGAATGAGTTTTAACTCACTATGTAATCACATATTTGATTCTTTGAATTTGCCTAGTTGCAATTGTCTGATGACAGTACTTTGCCAAAAAAAAATTCACATCCAGAAAAAATACACTAAAAAAACCAAATAAACCTGTATGGAAAGGCCTAACAGGAAATTGACTTCAGTTTCTGGACTTTATCTGATTTTTTGAGGGGCATTGTCTGTATCAGAATATTCTCTTTTGGATGTCTGCATCTCTTTCACAGAATCACAGAATCAACCAGGTTGGAAAAGACCTCTGAGACCACTGAGTCCAACCCATGACCCAATACCACTCTGTGAACTAGACCATGGCACTAAGTGCCACATCCAGTCTCATCTTAAAAATCTCCAGGGACAGTGAATCTACCACCTCCCTGGGCAGACCATTCCAATGTCTGATTACCCTCTCTGTAAAAAATGTTTTCCTAATATTCAACCTAAATCTCCCCTTGCACAGTTTAAGACTGTGACCTCTTGTCCTTCTGCTGTTTGCCTGGGAGAAGAAATTGACCCCCACCTGGCTACAACCTCCTTTCAGGTAGTTGTAGAGAGTGATGAGATCACCCCTGAGCCTCCTCTTCTCCAGACTAAACAACCCCAGCTCCCTCAGCCTCTCCTCACAGGACTTGTGCTCAAGTCCCTTCACCAGCCTGGTTGCTCTTCTCTGGACCTGCTCCAGCACCTCAGTGTTTTTCCTGAACTGAAGGGCCCAGAACTGGACACAGTACTCAAGGTGCAGCCTAACTAGTCTTTGGTAACTATGTTCCCCTCCATGTCCAACAAAGAATGGAGGTTTTCCTTGCCTCTCCTTTTGCTGTTGATGCATTTATAAAAACACTTTATTTATAAAACACTTTTTGTTGTCCTTAACAGAAGTGGCCAGATTCAGTTCAAATTGTGCTTTTGCCTCTCCAATTTTCTTTCTACATTCCTAAACATGTCATGAGTTGCCTGCCTTTTTTCCAAAGGTGATAGACTCTCTTTTTTTCCCTAATTCCCTGCAAAATCTCCCTGTTCAGCCAGGCCAGTCGTCTTTCCCAGTGGCTCGTCTTTTGGCACACAAGGACAGCCTGCTCCTGTACCTTCAAGATTTCTTTCTTGAAGGATGTCCATCCTTCCTGGATCCCTTTGTTTTTAAGTGCTGTTTCCCAAGGTACTGTCCAAACCAGCCTTCTGAATAGGCCCAAATCTAAAAAATTTCTGGGCAGAAGTTTTTTTGACACCTTTCCTTACTTCACCAAGTATTGAAAACTCCATCTAATGTCGTGGTCACTGTGCCCAGACAGCCTCTGACCACCACATCTCCCACCAGCCCTTCTCTGTTTGTAAACAGCAGGTCTAGCAGGGCCCCACCCCTGGTAGGTTCTATTATCAGCTGCAACAGGAAATTATCCTCTGGGATACTCTAAGAATCTCCTAGACTGCCACTTCTCTGCTGTGTTGTTTCCAATAGACATCTGGCAGGTTAAAGTCACCCACAAGAACAAGGGTTGGTGATTTTGAAACCTCTGCCAGCTGCTCGTAGAATAATTCACCACCCCTTTCATCCCAGTATTGAACTTCAAGTAATAGAATGCTATCATTCTTTCCTTTTAAGTATGAAAAAATATTTGATACTGAATATTAATTTCTCTTTGGGGAACAAGCTGAGGTGCAGTTAGGTTTGGTCTGGAATGTACAGATGAATATTTTTGACTTCTGATCATATTTTAGAAAGTTAACTTTAATTTAAGATATTTTTCTTTCTACAATTTCCTTTTAAATAAAATAATTTTAAGTAAATTTAATTTTACTTTACCACATTTTAAAGAGGTATTCCTTTCAAACATAGTGTAGTGGGTTGACCCTGGCTGGATGCCAGGTACCCAGTAAAGCCACTCTCTGCAACTGGACAGAGGAGAGGGAAAAAACAGCGAAGGATTCATGAGCTGAGATAAGAGCTGAGAAAGGTCAGTTACTGATTACCTTCATGGGCAAAACAGACTCAAAGTGGGGATATTACTTAAATGTATTACTAACAGGATAAGAGACAAAGAGTGAGAAATCTTAAAAAACACCTTCCCCTACCCCTCCTTCCTTCTGTGTTCTCCCTCCTCCCAGCCAAGGGGTGCAGGGGGACAGGGAATGGGGGCTATGGTCAGTTGTTGTTTCTGCTGCTGCTCAGGGAGAGGAGTCCTTCCCCTGCTCCTCTGGGGTCCCTCCCAAAGGAGACAGTCCTTGATGGAGCTCTCCAGTGTGAGTCCATCCCTCAGGCAGCCGTTCTTCCCAAACTGCTGTCCCACGGGTCACTCCTCCATGGGGTGCAGTCCTTCACCAATGAGCTGTACCGATGTGGGTCCCCCACAGGAGCCACAAGTCCTACCCAGGAAAAACCTGCTCCAGCCTGGGCTTCCCTCTCCATGGGCTGCAGGTCTCCAGCAGGACCCTGCTCCTTCTTGGGCCTCCCACGGGGTCACAGCCTCCTTCCTGCATCCCTCTGCTCCAGTGTGGGCTCCTCCCTGGGCTGCAGGGGGGTCTCTGCACCCCAATGGTCCCCCATGGGCTGCAGGGGCACAGCTGCCCCACCCTGGTCTGCACCACGGGCTGCAGGGCCTCGGCTCCGGCTCCTGGAGCACCTCCTGCCCCTCCTTCTGCACTGACCTTGGGGTCTACCTTGTTGTTCCCATGTTCTCACTCCGCTCTTCCCTGCCTGAAGTTCTTTCTGTGCCACAACCTTCTGTTCTTAAATATGTTATCACAGAGGTGTTTCTGTCACTCCTGATTGGCTCAGCCTTGGCCAGCAGCAGGAACCCCCTCCTGGAGCCAGCTGGCATTGGCTCCACGGCACAGGGGAAGCTTCTGGCAGCTTCTAAGAGAAGCCACCCCCTAGCCCCTGCTACCAAAACCCAGCCACAGAAACCCACTACACATAGTATTTATGTACTTCTAACTACTGGAGAATTTGTTTCAGCTGTAATGTTTTGCCACTCATTCTTGTTGTTTTTTTCATTAACTTATATGACTTGTATGACTTTATCTTCCCAGAAGAAAGAGTATGTTTCTACAATGATCTGATTATTCTGTAGTAAACTTTTTCAAATTTTTTCTCTGAATTATTTTTGCAAAATCAGCCAGATACGAGCTTGCCTTCCTTTAATGCATGTTAGTTAGAGATGTAGTGTTAAAGAAGCTTCCCTGTCTGACCACCTAGGAGCTACTCAGGAAGTCACATTTGATCCACCTGAGCTGGGATTGAAGACCCTTCTCAGCTAAACAACCCATACTCACACAGGCAGATGAGGTTTTCTGACTGACTTGACCCCATGTTTCCTAGGGCAGCGTCTCAGATATCTTGATCCTTTAAATAATTTAATTTTTGGTGCAGTAACAAAATAACACCTTGAGCTGGTGCCTCCAAGGAGAGACCTTGAACAAAAGTACCCTGGGCTTTTATACCCTCACAGTCTAAGGGCACAAAAGTCTGGGGGTCCTTGGCCTCTTCTGTGTTTCTGTGTCCTTGAGTGTCTGGTCCCCTGGCTGGGCCACAGCTTCCCAGGCCCTCTGTGCAAAGGGTTAGCAGTTCATGGCCTCTTGCCTCAGGCTCCTGCCACCCAGAACTCAATCTGTAGCACCCCTGAGCTACCTGTACTGAATGGATTCCTCAACAGTAGCAGCCAATCTTATAAAGATGGTACAAGATGTCTATACAGCAACAAAAGTGTGCTGTTGGTAGTATTGACAATGATGACTATACATATGTAAGTCATACTTACATACTTACATATGTAAGTAGGAGAAGTGCTGTACAATGCAGCTATGTAAATACGCAGAAGGTACTGGAAAGTTCAGTTGTCTTAGGAATAATATACATCTTCAGCATGTATATTCTGGATTTCACAAAATCATAGAATGGTTTGAGCGAGGTTCTTACAGACCCACCTCTCAGTCTGTCCAGGTCCCTCTGGATGGTATCCCTTCCTTCCAGTGTGTTGACTGTACCACACAGCTTGGTGGTGTCAGTGAACTTGCTAAGGGTGCATTCAATCCCACTGTCCATGTCACCAAAAAAGGTGCTAAACAGGTCCAGTACTGATACGGACTTTGCTGGAACACTGCTTGTCTCTGGTCTCCACCTGGACACTGAGCCATTGACCACAACTGTGATGGTTCGGACTTGGCTCCCTGCCAAATGCCCAAAGACTCAGTAGCAACCCCCCCCCTTTCCCCTCCCTTCTTCTCCCAGAGCAAAGGAAAAAAAAACTATGTAAATTGAAGAACCCAAAAATCCAGCTGGTTATATAAAAAAATATATATTTGGTGTATATTATAGTAAGATGCTATGTACACAGCAAAAAGGAAGTTCAAACACCCCCCGAAGGGATAGGGAAAGGGGAACAAACAAGGGACACTGAGTAGATATACGCAATCAAACCCGAGAATTAGTAAAGTAACCAGTAAAACAAATCTCACCACGTCCCTTAGAAAAAAGTAGGATTGACACACACGGCCAGCACTCTGCTATCCTCCACGTGGCAGGCCAGCGGTCGCTGCAGGCCTCAGCCTTAGATAAGCGAGACCAACGCAAGGACCCACTGTTCCCGTACCCCGCTGGAAGAGAAAGAGAGTGAAGGCCTCTCTTCCCTTCTTATTTATACCCCGATTTACGTAAAAATCTTATGGAATACTGGGAACACTGCCTCTTCCTTGGTTACAAACTGGTAACCAAGGAAGGCCTAGATTAAACCCACCACATTT